TCAGCCTGACAAGACCACCAACCGAACCAATCGTCACCCCCGAGAAAATCCTGAGTCACAGAGTTCGCGACCCTCGAGGAGCCCGAAGGATCGAGTTCTTACTCCGCTGGAAGGACCGTACACCCACCGAAGACAATTGGGTTCCCCTGGACAGAATCGAAAACCACCCCGTCCTCACCGAGTATCTACGCAGCCGAAATTTCAGGGATGTACACGCACTTTCGTAAGGAGGACCTCCTTAGGGGGGGGTAGTGTAAGGAAAATTCCTTTTCCTTACTTCTTATCCCTGCTCAACGCGTACATCACTATAGCACTACAGTCAGCACCGTTACTACTCGCAACCCTCGCATCGAGAATCCGCCCGCCACCTTCGCACATCGCACCCCGACCTCACGGCTCGGCGGGTAATCCGCGCTCCGGGCCTCCACTTTGACACTTTTTCCCAACCTCAGTCCCAGGCCCGTCGCGCGACAACCACAGTCCATTACCGTTACCACTGTAGTTTCGCTATATATTCTTCGCTCATGCCTTCGCTCATTGGACTCTTGCTTTGATAGTGCAATTCTCGTTCGTTCACTCAATTGCACTCCTAACACTTAGCCTGTTCATCGCGTTTTTTCCTATGTTTGCTTGCAAATTACAGATGAATAATATCCAAATGCATATTATAAGTCAAAAGGGATAACTACAGCAGTACCGGTACAGTGAAGCACACTTGCAACTCCTTACCCTGTTGACTGGATGGAAAATGCTGAATTTCCTCAATACGTCGCAATTCGCCACCTTCGCAGGCCTCTCCTAGCAAACCTTTGCTGCAATTTTCGTTCAGCACAGCACAGCACAGCACAGCACTTTTACCTCGCCAGGCCACTCCCACCCTCAGCCTCCCGCCTCTTTTCTGGGCACTGTCATCCTGCTTGGCACTTTCGAAGCTCACCGCCGCTGCAACAGCCAAATCCAGACCATCACACCACACCACACCGTAATAAATTATCACACCCAACACCCCACCACCACCTTTATCCAACCAAGGCCCCCTTCCCCCAGCAAGCATAAAAAGGTCCTTAGCTCTCAGCCCGACCACAGCGGAGATACTCAGCCAAGAGAGTGAAATATTATACTTGTAGAGGTCATTTACTCAAGGACTCAGCGCCTCTCGAGTCTATCTCACTTCGACGCCACACAATCTCAATTTCAGCCTCCCTTTCAGGAAAGAGTCACTCCCACCGCTAGCCGCAAACACAATGGCCGCCTACCCTCCTCCTGAGAGCATCCCGCCGTTCGCCGCGGGGAATCCGCCGCCGACAAACTACGAGTCGCCGCTAAGTTATCAACAGACAGGAGAAAACCCCCTTCCGCCTGCAGGCTACGCGGACGTTGAGGCGGGAGGCGGCGCGGGCAAGCCGCTCGCCGCGACTGGCGGCGGCTCGGGTGGGTCGTCGAGGATGTCGACGTTGATCGGTATCGGGCTGCGCATCTTCGAGCTTGCCTCCTGCGTTACCTCCTTCTCGTGAGTCTCTTGCGATGAGACGCCGCCATTTGCGACGACTTGTTCCCATTAAGCAACGCCGCCTTACGATTTTCACACACACACAAAAAAAACACAAAAAGAGAGTCTAGTTTTGAGGCGCATCACAACAAGGTTCCCATTCAGCTGCGCCGCCTTTCGATTCTCACAAAAAGAAAATCAAATAAGACCAACCACACGGAAAATCAGTGCGGGTATCTCCTTACGATCATAGCCACCCCTCCACCTCCTCGTGAAATGAGCCGTGCTTGAGTCGACTCAAAACACGAAGACCAACCACACCAAAAATCAGTCCCTGTATTGATAGTACCCTGCCGCTAGTAGCGACCCCTCCACTTCACCCTCGACCCCTCCCCCCTCTTCTCCCACGTCCTTTTCTCCTTTGCTCCCAGCCTGCTCGCCTCCACCACCCGCGACTACACCGAGCACGACGCGGGCGCGTTTCTGCTCGCCGTGAACGCCATCGGATTCATCCTTTCCTTCCTCCTCCTCGCCCTCCTCGTCGCGTCGCTCTTCGTCTCCGCGCTCCGCCGCTTTGAGGGCAAGCTGCGCCTCTTTCAAGTCATCGAGGGCTGGGTGAGTCAATCGTGCCCGCTTTGTCAGATTCCCATTTGCGACTCAAATTTTCGTCTCCGTGCTCCACCGCTTCCAGGGAAAGCTGCCCCTCTTCCAAGTCATGGAGGGCTGGTAAGTCCCGTCGCATGGCTAGTGGAAATTTTGCTAGCGCGCTCGCATGCAAATCGAATGACATCAGCACGCTCCGCCGCTCCCTTGGCAAGCTGCGCTTCTTACAAGTTGTCGAGGGCTGGGAGTGACCCGCGCGCTTGGTGAAAGCTAATGCACAGCCCTCCTCGCCACTCAGATTCACTCAGCGCGCTCCGCCGCTTCCAGGGAAAGCTGCGCCTCTTCTTTGTCGTCGAGTGCTGGGTGAGTCAATCGTACGGTTTGTAGACTGACTCCCAGAAGCAGCTCATATTGAGTATTCGACCGATTCAAGCATAGTGAGAGTGTCTGTTTGTTTTTTTGGACTGCCCAAGGTTCCATTTCGCTCACTCTTCCTCCCTCCGCCGTCCGTCACTTAGGGCGCGTATCTCTTGAATTTTAGGCTAAAGTTCAAGTTCTTTAGTCGACCTGTACTCGAATATCTCAACTTGAGCCTGAATCTCGAATTGCCAACTTGCAAAAAGCACAAAGAACACCAAAGTCCGAGTATCGAGGTTCAACTTCCGTAGGTTACCCGGTACTCACTCCTTGACGTTGGCGACACCAGGCATCATCCATTTGGCGTTAGTTGTGCGCGCGATGTAATTTGCGACCGTCGCACGCTTCGCATTTTCAGGATGCATACCCATCAGGACACACGCTTGACCTAACGTGCACCCAACAAAATCGTACGGGAGTTCGACCCAGGTTTAGTGTCCCACTTCATCACCATTGCCAGAAGTAGGACACACGATTCTCGCGAAGAGCCCTGAACGAAATCAACGAAAAGAGTTACCAGCAAAAGTTCGACCTAATTTTTCAACCTCTACGCCAAAAGACACGCGCCCTTATTCCCTTCCTCCCTCCCTCTCTCCCTCCCTCCCTCCCTCCCTCCCTCCCTCCCTCCCTCCCTCCCTCCCTCCCTCCCTCCCTCCCTCCCTCCCTCCCTCCCTCCCTCCCTCCCTCCCTCCCTCTCTCCCTCCCTCCCTCCCTCCCTCCCACCAATCCGTCGGTCCCCCTTCCCGTCCTCGTCCGTTGCTCCCTCGCAGCTGCTTTCGCTGCTCCTCTTTGCAGCGGCGTGCACGGCAGGCGTGCCGGCCTCGAGATGCGGATACTACTCCTACTACAACTGGTGCGTGCTCTGCTGTCACGAACAAAGTCTAGTAATTATTTTTCTTCTCTTTCTTTCCCCAACGAATCTCGTGCTACAGTTCGCTCCATTCATCACACCTGTCTACGTTACCAGCAAGCAAGTCTTTAGCGGAGAACACTTCCATGTGTGTCGAACAAACTTGATAAACAACCAGCAACCAAACCGAATTTAACGCAAACGGTATTATATACACCTACTATACCACCTCCCTCCTCCCCCCCATCCGTTGACCTACGGCAGTTACAGTTACAGCGACAGCAAGCTGGTCAATGGATCGATTGCCGTGACCTTCTTTGCCTCCTTTACCTACGCTTGCGGATTCTGGTATGAGACTGTTTCTCTCACATACCCCACTTCCTCCCTCTCCTCCCCTCCTCCCCCCCCCACCCCCCCCCCCCCTCTCTCTCTCTCTCTCTCTCTCTCTCTCTCTCTCTCTCTCTCTCTCTCTCTCTCTCTCTCTCTCTCTCTCCCTCCCTCCCCCCCCCCCGCCCCTTCCCTCTCTCTCTCCTGACGTCTTGCTCTATCACTTGGCTCCGTTTACTCAATCTCTCCTTTGTTCCAAACCTCATGCTCCCATTGACTGCCTTCACGATGTCACTCGTGGTGCCTTTGCCTTAATATTCTGTCACCCATCTGTACCCATGCCACACGTTTCGCTTCCGCAGGTACTATGCACTCATGTCATATTACAGGCGATAAGCCTTTAGGCAGAAAAACGGGTGTACTATTTATCGGGCAGTCAATAGCTGCCTGGTCGGTATGTTCAAAAAGGCCTCTCGCATAAGACTTACATTACATCAGTAGTTTCTCTCCGGCTTCTATCTCTCTCTCTTCCGCGAGTATAGTCAAACCATATCATGCTATCATTGATGTGCAAAGATTGTGAAACTGGGATTATTGTTCTGTCGAAAGGAGCGTACAAGGGAAGGGAAGGATCTCATTAAGGGTCGTGCCGCGTGAACTCTTCTAGAAGTGCCTTGCGCCATGACTAATCGTGAAGGCTGTCACGCACATAATCAACGTGAGCATGCCCCCATACTTTTCGATAGAAGTTATTATAGCATTGAAGGGCAACGTTTTTCCAAGATTTTGATTTTCCTAAGCTGCTTCATCGGTTGTATGTTCAGCAAATTATACCAGCGCTGATGATTCAGTATTTCGTTTCCCCCCGACAGTAACCCTGGAAAATTAGGCCTGAATATAGATCTGCAGTACACAGATAACACCACGTAGGTTACTGTAGAATACGTTGAAACCCGGAGAAAGTTATCGTATATAAAGCAGCTGTTGCCACTGTGATGGCGAGCAATGCTAGATGCTGCCGCAGCTTGGGTCAACCAGGTACCGGTATGTACAAACCACATAGAGCGACAGTGTGTTAAATATCCACTCTAACATGTACTGGTACTAGGCCTCATCACCCCACACCACAATCTTTCACAAACTCCAAGTCAACGAGAAGCCGTAAATAACGGAAACTGGAGCAAACCTGTCTCTTCCCAAGTGTGGCAGAACTTCCTTACCGTATCAGCCCTGATTCATTGCAAAGACACAGCACCTTTTGAGGCGCCTCAAAAGTAGAACCTGCTTCTTCGAAACCATGGCAGAACATCTTTATTAGCCGCGATTCATTGCAAAGACATAGTACCTGCAAGCAGGCAAGCACGAATGAGGCAGCGGGCCCGAGAGGTGGAGGTTAGTGAAAAGGATCAGGAAAGGGAAAAGGAGGGATGCAATAAATGGCTTTTAAGTCGACTCAAAATTCACCTCTGCGGGCCCGAGGGCCGGATGGTCAGTGAAAAGGATCAGGAAAGAGAAAAGGAGGGAAACAAGGGTGCATGCACTCCGTTTCCACTTATGGATCGAGTTAGCATAACGTTCCCCATCCTGAACTCACTATGAATTGCTCTCTACTCTCTCTAGAAAGTGCTTGATACATCACCACAGAGAGCAAGCTATATACCGTAATTTCTGTAAGGTGCACCCATACTCACGAGTGTGTGCCCACGAAATAAAATCAGGCGAGGAATGCCGAGACGACGTGTCAAGAATAGACAGGTGAGGCGTACTGGTAATTGCTGTAAGATGCACCCCTACTCACCAGTGTGTGGCCATGAAAGCGAACGAGGCGAGGAATGCAAAGCCGACTGACGTCTTGGCGTAGGTGCATGTGTTGGTCCTGGACTCGAATGCGTCATAGGCGCTGTAGTTGGGGGTTTAAAAGAGAAGGGATTTTAGAAACAAGTGAGAGGTGAGAGAGGAGAGGGGTGGGTGCATGTGTTGGTATTCGGCAGAAATGCGTCATAGGTGCTGTGACTACTGGGGGTGAAAACTGAAGGGTTTTTTAGAAACAAGTGAGGTGAGAGAGGAGAGGGGTGGGTGCACGTGTTGGTCTTAGGCAAGAATGCGTCATAGGTGCTGCGATTGGGGCGCGGGATAGGAAAAGGAATAGGAACAGGGAGGGAAAAGTCGGTGAGAGGGAAGAGAGGAGAGGTGAGAAGTGGAGGTGAGAGGGAAGAGAGGAGAGGGGAGAAAGTGGAGGTGAGAGGGAAGAGAGGAGAGGGGAGAAAGCGGAGGTGAGAGGGAAGAGAGGAGAGGGGAGAAAGTGGAGGTGAGAGGGAAGAGAGGAGAGGGGAGAAAGTGGAGGTGGGATCGGAGAGGGGGCATAGGAAGGTAGAGAAAGTGAGAGGAGAGGGGAGAAAGTAAGAGGGAGGAGAGGAGAAAGTGAGAGGGGAGAGAGGAGAAAGTGAGAGGGGAGAGGGGAGGAAGTGAAAGGGGAGAGGGGGCATAGGTGCATGTGTTTGTCGCTAGCAGGAGTTGTAGGTGCTGCATTTGACAGCAGGCGCGAGGAAAGGGAAGAGTAGTAGGTTAGAGTGGGGAGAGGAGATGGAAGAGCTGGTGAGAGGGCAAAGAGGTCGGTAAGGGCAGAGAGGACGGAAAGGGCAGAGAGGGCAGAAAGAGCAGAGGGGGCGGGAAGGGGAGGGCGGAAAGGGCAGAGAGGGCGGAAAAGGCAGAGAGCATGGCACTCACTTGCGCAGGAAGCCGCGCGACTCGTTGGCGCCTGTGAAGGCAGCCCCGAAGATCGGAGAAAGGTGAGCAGAGAGGGCAGAGAGGGCAGAGAGGGCAGAGAGGGCAGAGAGGGCAGAGAGGGCAGAGAGGGCAGAGAGGGCAGAGAGGGCAGAGAGGGCAGAGAGGGCAGAGAGGGCAGAGAGGGCAGAGAGGGCAGAGAGGGCAGAGAGGGCAGAGAGGGCAGAGAGGGCAGAGAGGGCAGAGAGGGCAGAGAGGGCAGAGAGGGCAGAGAGGGCAGAGAGGGCAGAGAGGGCAGAGAGGGCAGAGAGGGCAGAGAGGGCAGAGAGGGCAGAGAGGGCAGAGAGGGCAGAAAGGGCAGAGAGGGCAGAGAGGGCAGAGAGGGCAGAGAGGGCAGAGAGGGCAGAGAGGGCAGAGAGGGCAGAGAGGGCAGAGAGGGCAGAGAGGGCAGAGAGGGCAGAGAGGGCAGAGAGGGCAGAGAGGGCAGAGAGGGCAGAGAGGGCAGAGAGGGCAGAGAGGGCAGAGAGGGCAGAGGGCAGGGAGGGCAGAGAGCACATGAAGAACCGCACTCACTTCACTTCACACTCACTTGCTCAAGAAGCCGCACGACTCGCCGAACACATTGGCGCCCGTGCAGGCAGCCCCGAAGAGTAGACACACGTTGAGCTGGCGACGTGGGGATGGGGAGGGCAGGGTGTGTGAGCGTGCAGAGGTTTGTATGCATGACTTTTCGATGAAATTAAGACACGAATAGACGAACGGAGACGTAATTAGTAGACGCAAGCAGGCGTGAACTCTTGTCTCAAGGCAGTCAAGAAGCTTCGTCTGAAGGTACTCACGAAGATCTCAACGGCGAAGTAGAGGTATATGCGCGACTGCTTGTCCCGCAGCAAGCCGGTTTTGAGAAGCCACAAGAATGTTTTTGCCTAGAGGCACTCACGAAGCTCTCAGCGGCGAAGTAGAGGTACATGCGCGACTGCTTGTCCCTCAGCGAGCTGCTGGCGACGGCTGCGATGCCTGCGACGAGGGCGATGAACGAGAAGATGAACCCGATGATGCCCGCCGCCAGCAGGAACTGGCCCGTGCTGAACGCCGTCAGATTGCCGTCCGCCGCTGCCAGGATGCTGAAAGCGGGGGAAGGGAAGGGGAACGGTGGGAAGAGGAGCGGCGAAAGAGAGAGGAAGGTGAGTCGCCAGCAAGAACTGGCCCGTACTGCTGAACGCCGTCAGGTTGCCGTCCGCCGCTGCCAGGATGCTGTGTGGGAAGGAGGTGGGGTTGGGGGAGGAAGAGGAGGAGCGGCGGGAAGGGAGGGTGAGTCGCCAGCAGGAACTGGCCCGTACTGCTGAACGCCGTCAGGTTGCCGTCCGCCGCTGCTACTAGGATGCTGCGTGGCGGATGATGGGAAGGGTGACTGTTGCCACGCGCCTCAGAAGGCAGAAGATAAACCCGTTGATGCCCGCCGCCAGCAGGAACCTGCCCGTGCTGAACGCCGTCAAATTGCCGTCCGCCGCTACCAGGATGCTGTGTGTGTGGAGGGGGGATGGAGAGGGGGGGAGGATGACTTTTGAGGCGGCTGAACAGGAGAAGATGAACGCGATGATGCCCGCCGCCAGCAGGAACCTGCCCGTGCTGAACGCCGTCAAATTGCCGCCCACCGCCGCTAGGATACTGTGGGGAGAAGGGAAGGGGAGGGGAGGGGAGGGGAGGGGAGGGGAGGGGAGAAGGGAAGGGGAGGGGAGGGGAGGGGAGGGGAGGGGAGTGGCCAGCCAGGAACATGCCGTCAGATTGCTCCGCCGTCACTGTAATACCGAGGGGGGAAGGGAGGGGAACGGTCGCCGCAAGGACGGGGGAAGGGGAGAGGATGGGGCCCGCGGCGCGGCGCGCGGCATATGGATAAAGAGGGAAATTTTTCAAGTCAAGGTGATGCAACTGTTTGGAAAAAGTGTAGCCAGATTCGCAAAGGCCATTGCATTTGAAATAATAATTGGCACAGCCGGAAAGAGCGGGTCGTTGCTTCCGTCAGTCAGATCCCCGGCATGCCAACGACCCGCTCTTTCCGGCTGACTGACCGAAACAGTTTTTTAAGCGAAGCGTGTGGGAAAACGATTAAGACAGCAGCCTACAGTAGCGTCGTCTTGTAAAACATATATTCTCCGTCGGCCGGACTCGAGATTTCTTTTGCGATCTGTGGAATATACCTTTTTTCAGCTGGCATAACGTATCGTTTTCATGTAGACATAGTAAGAAACGGCCGAGACGGTCACACCTGAAAGAAATGAGGGTGAAGACGAACTGACAACCCCGGAGAATAAGCGCTGCGGCCGACATGGTTGTAAATGGAAAAAGAGAAGCCGCGTGGGTGTCGAAACGGGTAAGCTAGCAGCCTACAGAAATAGAACGGCTTGTGTTGTTACTGCTAACAGAACCGGCTGGTTCCGAAGACACTACCTGTCGGTGAATAAGCGGGTTCGGAAGCTGTGGAGTATAACTGTGGAATGTCGATTACAGGATTTATTCGCTTGTTCGGTTCTTGAAGAGAATGACGAAACGGCTGGGCTTTCTATCAAATCTTGTGCGAGCAAGACGCTTGGCTGTCAAAATGGCATCAGAAGTGAGGAGCGCACAGGACTGGTGGTGAAGAAGGTGCGGCAGAAATGTCGGCGCGAGGGAGCTGGTTGCGTGTGAAATTGGAGGTTGAAATGCACGTTGAATTGAGGAGGTTGGGAATTGCAATGCAAGAATGTCGGCATGGCAACCACGAGGTTTTTCACCAGAACTTGCGGTCACGACGAAGCACCATGCTGCACAGCTCAGCTCGAGAAAACCGAAACTGGCCGCGACCGAAGGCCTTGAACCAATTACAGTAAGCCACATCCGCTTGCACGTATCGCAGATACTGTAAATCGGGAAATTCTGGGCCATTATGACGCGGGATGTGATCCATCGTCAACACTGACTTTTGGTGAACTTGCGTCATTTGTGCGACCCGCACTGCTGTCACATACGTCATTACTGCAGAATTTCGGTGGAACTTGCTGACGTGTTATGACCGACGTTTGGCATTCTGAGCGGGAGATCCTACTTGTGGCGTCATAATCCTCACCGTCAATTGTGGCCAGCTGTACTCGGTTTTGAATTATTATTTTTGGCATTCCTCCTTGCAACATACCATATGTATTGTTTAGGTACAACCCTTTATAGCCTTTTGCTTTCTCTATAAGTTCTTGTGATAATACTTCCTCACAAGTTACTGCATCACGATGCAAAAACACCAAACAACGATCAGAGTCAAGTCAAAGAATCTAGATGAAGCGTCCAGTACTAAAGTTGGTGTTGTTGCTCGCCAAGGCGCTAGTGTTTTGCCATTTCATCTAGCACACTGCTGATTTATCTAGTGGTCATTGGCAAGAAGAAAGAAGAAATGCCTGTTGGTGGAAGGGAAGGGCAGGCAGGGAGGTTGTAGAAAGGACGGGGAGAAAGGTTGAAGAAAGGATGGACGGGCAGGGAGGGAGGTTTCTTATGTAGCGCACACCTTAGACCCGAAGATAGCATATCACACACACGACCCAGCAATAGGTGAGGATGAGGGAAAAATAGGACGCGAAGGTGTATCAGGAGGAAACATAGGTCAAGCACACGCCTTTGACCCAGAGACAGCCAATCACAATACCGAGCCAACAATACATGAGGATGAGCCAACAAGAGAGGCTAAACAAGAGGACAAGAGTGACATACCAGGAGGAGGAAATATACCCCATGGCCACTGACCATGCCAGCATCAATTACTGAGATGTCTAGAAAAGAGGACAAGGGGGACGTACCAGAAAGAGGCAATGTAGGTGAAGGAGGCCATGTACCCCACAGGCACCGACCATGCCAGCAGCTTGACCTCGTTTTGAGTTGACTCAGTAGACAAGAGAGACGTACCAGAAGGAAGCAATATAGGTGAAGGAGGCCATGTACCCCATGGCCACCGACCATGCCAGAAGACTTTTGAGTCAACTCAGAAGTCAACAAGAGGACGAGGCAACAAGATGACAAAGAGACGTACCAGAAGGAGCCGATATAGGTGAAGGAGGCAATGTACCCCATGGCCACGGACCATGCCAGCAGCGTGCAGTCATCGCCACTGGTGTAAGAAAAGGGTGGGGTAAAATATCAGGGGAGAGGGTGGAGTAAGTTGCAGGAAGGGAAAATGCGAGGAAATTGCTGCTGTTATCAGACACTCGTGGCGGAGAGAGGGGTGGGTTGGGGGATGGGGGGAGAAGGAAGGGGGGAAAAGCTTGGGGAAATGGGAATGGGGAGAAAGGGTTTTAGGCATCAACGGAAAAGTGGACAACCACATTGGGCAACGGAAAGGAAGAGAGAAGAGGAGACGTGCAAGGAAACATCGACATCAACATCATTTCTGGGGCCATAAATGACGAGGTGGGCGACGGGTGGGGGGAAGGGTAACTGTCATGGCGCTAAAAGGAGTAAGGAAAGAGGTGACAAAGCGGGGGAAGCAAAAAACTCAGAGCCCGACTTTTAGCAGTAGAAGGGTGGAAGGAGCGAGAGACGCACAGCAGGTTGAGCAGGGCCAGGCCGTTGTAGCAGGCGTTGACTCGGAAGCTGCTGGCAGTAGCAGCCGCGCCGAAGAGCAGCATCAGCATCATCTGCCGGCAAGCATAGACCAGGGGGGGAAAGGGCGGAGCGGAGGGGGCGCGCGCGCAGATGCGGAGGGAAACGGGCTCAGGGGTGTGACGAGGTCTCAATGCACAAGCCGTAGATGGGGAGGTGGATCTTGTAGGGGCTGAGACCCGAGAGACGAGAAACGGCAACTTTCGAGGCGCCTCAAAATGCACAAGCCCATAGATGGGGAGGTGGATCCTGTAAGGGCTGAGACCCGAGAGACGAGAAACGGAATGGAAAGGGACGGGAATGGCGAGATGAGATGGAGCAAACAGCCTTGAGAGTGTTGGGACTTGAGAAGGAGAGTTGGGCTCGAGCTAGAGGAAGGCTCAAGAAGCCGCTGCGAAGCTTGAGGCTTTTCCTTGATATCGTTTTGCTAGCGCGCCTCAATGTGGCATGACTCGCGTTGACTCGCGTCGACTCACGAAGCTGATGTAGAGCTGGATGCGGATGGCGTTGACGGCCATGGCCGGGTTGCGGCCGAGGAACGACTAGACTAGACTTGACTTGACTGGACGTGACTCGTGTTGACTCACGAAGCTGATGTAGAGCTGGATGCGGATGGCGTTGACGGCCATGGCCGGTTTGCGGCCGAGGAACGTGACGGCCGCGCCGATGACGGAGAGGATGAGGCCCGTGATGGCCATGGCGAAGAGGTATGCCGTGGAGTTAAAGCCCTTGTAGTTCATCTTCATGAAGGTCATCACGCTGGGGTGGCAGGTGGGGAGGAGGGGGGGAGGAAGTGGGGAGAGGGGGGACAGGGAAGGGAAAAGAGGAGTGAATGGCGTGAAAGAGTGTTAGCTTGAGGTGGGTGAAATCCCTTGGGGATGATCCACAAGGGAGTGGGAAGGGGGAGAGAAGGGGGAAGAGAGGGCAAAAGAGCAGGGAATGGTGCGAGAATGTGACGGACTCGTGGTGGGGTTATATCCATTCTAATTCATATTTACGAACGTCATATGCTGGCAAAGGGGAAGGGAGGGAAGAGAGGGGGGGGGGGTTGGAGAGGGGCGATGGCGGGAAGATTAAAAAAACGAGGGTCATTCACTTCACATGTGAACGTCATTACCCTATCATGATGTGTGTCCAGACTTCTGAGGCGTCGCTAATCTAGGAGATATTTGAGAATTCTTGAAACCAAGCGGCTCGGTCGTGTCTGGCTAAGATGTTTCTTACTCTATTTTGAGTCGACTGAACGAAATATTTATTATTTTCCGCGGTTTATACGTGGCTACTGGGCCGACCATTGGCGAATAGAGCGCGAATAGGAATGGGGCGGGAGAATGGAGGGAATGACATCCAACGTGTGCGAAAGGCGAGCGACGTACACGAAGGACGCGATGCAGAAGCATATTTCCAAAAAGCGCAGGATGATGGGGATGACGAGGTACGACGACGAGCTCCGGTCCTTTCCGTCTCCCGACATGGCTGCGCTGCGAGTAGGCGGCGACGACGACGAGGAGGACGACGAATAAAACGCTTCTTGTGTTGATAGAAGTTGTTACCCACGACGTGATGATTTTAGTCGGATGACAATCGGAAGTGGGCTGTTCAGTCAGTTGCTGCGCGCGTGTGTTTCGACTAATGCCAGAAACCAAGTGCAATGTGAGGTGAAGAGGTTTGTTTGGGAAGCTGGTCTCACAATCACAACCCTACTGTCAGTTCGGATGGAAGTTCTAGAAGGGGAATTGAAGTGGGAGGGTGGAATGTGAAGGGAGTGAGTGCGCGCGACGGTGCGAGGTGACGTGCGCAAATGGATTGTGGGCGGGAGGGAGTGTGGGACTGGGGAGGCGGGGGAAGAGGAGAGTCAGCTCGAGCCGCACCTAGGTCTGTGCGCGAGAACATGGTTGTATTGGCGCATAAGAAAAGCGCTCGGGCGGACACGCAAAAATTTCCTGCGACAATCTGGAGGCTGATGCAGTTCGATATCGGGCAACAGAAAAAGTGAGTTTCTGGAAGAATTTGGCTCTAAATTGAACTTTGAACCATGGAGTTTGTAACCAGTCAGCCTTCGAAATTCCTTCGAATTTGTGTAGTTCTTATGTACAGAGGTTACTTCTGAATGAAAGGACATCTCAAGCCATGATGGTTTTCCTGGTACGGGTGCCCCTTCTCTCCACAAGGGGCTCTCCGACCGAACAGAACATCACAATTGCCCCACAATTTGGTGCCCCATTTTTCGTTAGTCCTCACCCGTCCGATCCTCGAGATGTCCACGTTTGACCATTCGATGAAACTGGGCGACTTGTCGAACCGCCTTCAAGACGCGCCATAATCTCATGTCATACACAGAGACAGTGGTTCCCGCCATTTTCATCATCCAGCCGCGCTAGTGACCTGCGCAAACCAAGCCGCGGGACTCCAACGTGCGTTCTTTCCATCTTTGGGCTGACCTGCCAAGAAAACACATTCCATCTGTTTCCTTATCTCCCTCCCTCTCATACAGTACCATCCGCCCATCCCTCTCCCCACCCACCCCCCTCCCCGATTCCATCACTTCCCCCACTTCCTTCCCCAATTTCCCCCCACCCCCTCCCCCCTCCGCCCTCCACCTCTCCTCCCCCAAGCTACCCAGCACACCCTGCCTAGAGTTTGAAGTCACAACACAGAACATTCCATCCCGCACAGAGCACTAGGCTACAATTGCAAATACGTTTCACTTTCCACTACTTGTTGAATCTCTCGTTGTCGAAACTAAACTTCACGCAAGCAGTGTCTGTGGTCCCACTTTCTCATCCTGGTCGTTCCTACTCCTTCTACTCGTCGCGGTTGTCACTCGGTCAAGCATCGCAGCCATGGCGGGCGGCTCGGCGAAGTTTTTGCCCCTCGCTCTGCGCTTCCTCGAGTGCTGCTTCTGCTCCGCAACATTCGCGTACGACACTCTCCATCCACCGCAATTTCTCGTCAAAGCCAGCTCCACTATTTTCTTGCTTGAGTAGCTTCACAGAAACAGTGTTATAGCGTCTTTGATTTCCATCCCCCCCTTCTCTCCCCCGGCCCGTCCCCCCGCTTATTCCATGAAATCGATGGCCGTCGTGCTCTGCTCATTGTTGGATCTGCTCATTATAAGCTCCGAATCTTTCTTTCCAGCAATTGCTCGGTCAAGAACCTTCCTGTCTTTTCAGTGTCATCCGTCTTATCGCGCCGTGGTTCCCCGCCCAGGTTAACCGCAGAAGTAGGATAAAGGTCGCATAGTAGCACTGATAACGTAAGATGCCAGGTCGAGTCGGGAGGAAACCCGTTCGGCATTCTGTGCTAACCGGATGCGTATCTTCGTCGGCCTTCCAATGTGTTCGATGTGCCTCTTTGTGTATTGCTCTTACCATTTCCAAACCTTTCCCTTCCTCTCATCTCCTTCCCAGCCCGTCCCTCCTCCTCCCCCCGATTTCTATGTTGAACCCCCTTCTTTCCCTACCCCTTTCCGCCGTCTTCTCTCCCCCCTTGTCATCGTCATTCTTCTCCTCAACCCCCACTGTTTCGCTTCCCCAGCAACGTTACGGTTTTCTTGTTGAAAACGTTCATCGCGTATTCCTCTCGCCACCTCTCCACCTTCCCCCTTCCCCTCTCTTCTTTCCCAACCCCTTTTCGTCGCCTGCACCTCATTTTCCTCCTTTCCCTCCTTTCCCTCCCTCCCTCCCTCCTTTCCTCCCAACCATCCTTCGCTACCTCAATATACACCCGACGAGCACTGACGTGGCGGCGTTCGTGTTAAGTACTACACCTGAATCCCTACACCTGACTCCCTACACCTGACTCCCTACACCCTCCCTCCTCTCCCCCTTCTCTCCGAATCCCTTTCCACCCTTTTCCGATTCCTTCTCCCATTGCCCCCCATCCTTGCCCCCCCTCTCCTCCTCTCAACTCCCAACGCCCCTTTGCCCCGCCCCTTCTCCGTGTCCCTCCCCCCGGTCCCCCAGCATCCTGTGCTATCTCAGCTCCCCCACTTTCCTGTTCCCCCCATCCCCCTCCTTTCCCCCTTCAATCCCCACCCCTTTCCCCCCCTCGCCTCCCAGCATTCTGTGCTATCTCAACTTCTCTTGGAAGAGCATCAACGTCACGGCATTCCTGTTCGGAACGGGCGTCACGGGCCTCATCCTCTCCTTCATCCTCATGCTCGTGCACGCCGCCAACGTCGCCGGCGTCAAGCTCGACTCGCTCGGCTCGCAGCTCTTCGGAAGCTTCGTAAGCGTTGCCGAGTTCGCTAGTTCTCGTTACGGAAGCTCCTTATTTTTCCGCCCAGCCTCTCCTCCGTGCCGCGCCTTGAAACCTCTTCTGAACCTCTCGGCCGACCCTGTCGTCCGAGCCTCTCGGCTGACCCTCTCGTCCGAGCCCCCCACCCGAGCCTCTCGTCGTCCCGATTCCACTCCCCTGGCAGATGATGAAGATGCTATTTGGCGCGTGATGATGCTGAGCATGTTCCTCCTGACGCATCTTGGGCGTCAAGAGTCGTTGCGATTCTCAAGAGTCCTTTGGATTCCCACCCCCTCCCCCACCCACCTCCTACCTCCCACCCCCACCCTCCCCCACCCCCACGGCAGATGATGATGATGCTGCTGTTCGCCGCGTCGTGCGCGTCCGCGTCCTTCACGTCGCGCATGTGCGGCTCGTACTCCACCAACTTCCTCCTCGGATACATGTACGTTTGTGCGTGGGGGGAGGGGGGAAAGGGGTGTGGGTGCGCGCGTGGCTGTGCGGGTGTGGGTGCGCATGTGCAGCTCCTACTCCACCAACTTCCTCCTCGGCTACATGTGAGTTGCCTCTCTCTCTCTCTCTCTCTCTCTCTCTCTCTCTCTCTCTCTCTCTCTCTCTCTCTCTCTCTCTCTCTCTCTCTCTCTCTCTCTCTCTCTCTCTCTCTCTCTCTCTCTCTCTCTCTCTCTCTCTCTATCTCTATCTCTATCTCTCTCTCTCTCTCTCTCTCTCTCTCTCTCTCTCTGTGCGTGCGTGTGCGTGTGCATGTGTGCGTACTGTGTGTGTGTGCGCGCACGCGTGTGTGTATGTGTGCGTGCGTGCGTGCGTGTGTGTGTGTGTGTGTGTGTGCGCGCGCGCGTGTGTGTGTGTGATTGTGTGTGGTTCTGTGCGTGTGTGTTGTAATCTTTCTGTTATATTTTCTTACATTTCGAGCTTACATCCTACTCCTATCTCTTTATTGCATACATATACGGTACTCCCTGTCACCACTTCCAACCCCCTACCCTCGCCACTTCTCTTTTCCCCCGTTCCCCCCCCCCTTCCCCCCGCTCCCCCCTCCACTCCCCGCTTTCTCTCGAATGCTCTTCCCCTACTGTGCTCGCGCGCCCTCTCTCTTGCAACAATAAATTTCAGTTTAGTTATCTGCCCTTTTTCAAACCTCTCACCGTTTTCTGCCCCTACCCGCTCATCGTCCCCTTTCTGGTTCTTGTCCGCGTACGCGTTACAGTCAAGATAGCTGCACGCTTCTCAAGTGGGCCAACGCCATGGGGTTCCTGGGCACATTCACCTACATGACATCCTTCTGGTGAGTGCACTACAGTCTGCCGAGCACCTCTGTAACAGATAACAAACTCTCTAATATGCAACTATGTCCATGCCCAGTCAAGACACTCTGGGGGATCTGACTTTGTATCTTAAAACCACTTTTTTGACTCTTTTTTGAAAGCGTCTTCCCATACGCGCCTGACATGTCAAAGGCCTGCAGTGTTGAAATTCATGACTGCGTTGATAACAGATGTTATAATGTGTCTGGGTCTTTGCAGGATCTTCACTTCGTTCATTTACATGGAAGCATAGATAGGTACGATGTAGGACATAATTGATGACAACCATAGATGTCCCTACAGTGCATGCTATGTTGTGCTTAGTTGAGTTTGGCATGGGTTTGGAAAGCATATGAGCTAGTACTAATGCAGGTCCTTCAGAGCACAATACCATCTTGTTCCATGTGAAGAGTGATTCTTGTGAGGCTGACGTGATTCGCTTAGGGCGTGTTACATTTTTGGTCTTACGTCGTCCGTCCCATTGACCGTCCGAACAATTCGCTGGTAGCTAGTTTCGCTTGAGTTCGGATGGCATCTCGCATATCAGCATGCGACGTCGCATGCGTCTGTACCGAGGAGTGCTCCCCGCATAGACGTTGGTCCGGATGCATGTTGTCCGTCAGGTGGAAAGGCAAAACGAACCGCGTGTTGAATGGTGGACGAAATCCTGAAACAAAAATGGAATCCGCCAATCAGCTGTCTAGCCGCTCAAAACCAATCACGCGTTGCACAGATTGCGTGGTGGGCGAAAATTGCGACCAGGCGGGTATTGTGTTACAAAGTGTTCACAATTTTGAATTTCGAAACTCAAAATTGTACCACTTCCAGACGTTCGGACGAGGCTTGTTCCGGACGTGAGCCTTGGACAGCCCGTACAAGATGATCCGTACCATCGACGGAGCTTCGTCCAGACAAAAGGGCCTCGAAGAAAATGTAACACGCCCTTATGGTTGTGAAGTACCTTGTGGTTCCGCAATGAAATTCCATTCAAAATTCACTTCATGGCATCTCAGAGTTCATTTTTACTGAAGTGTTACTGTGACCTCTCCTTTTTTGAGGTGCCACGCAAGCGGAGAAGGTCAAACTTCCCTTGTTCCATTACACCAGCTTGGAATTGGAACCAATCACCGAGAGTCGTCATTCGTCTGGATACCACGTGGGACAGCATTCTTGGCAATTGGACCACGGAAATGACCTACGCGGCATTCCCCCTCCCCACCTGATTGGCCATTATATCGAGGATTGCTTTTGCCTTGAGCTTTGTTGAACCACCTTTCCTAGTGGTTCCTAATCGACTAGTTATGCAAATGTCTTGAGAACCTGCTACCACATGAGAGGGTACGACTAGGGTCTATATATTATGATAGGGTAGTAGCTATATACTAGGATGCTCTAGGAATTCGGTTAAGTATTCTGTGCCCGAAGCAGGATGTATTACTGGTAATTGAGATCAGGTAGATTCTGTCTCTCTTGCGTATAACACGAAGCCAGTAGCTTGATTCTTATGATAGCGTAAACAATTTTATTTCGTTATATAGCCGCATTACAGATATAAGCGCTTTCTGTTACAATGGATAAGGATATGCATGAAGTGTCGAACCTCATAACGGATGGAGATGGCGGCGCGAAGGTGGTGGCCGGAAGGAAGGCGCCGACAGTCATCGCACAGACGGAGCGGCGCGACAGGAAAGTCGTCGCAGCCGTTAAGGCGCTGGCGTCGCAGCCGTCGCAGAGGGGGTTCGTCGCAGAAGGGATGTCGGTGACGTGGACACGGCTACAGTACTCCGTGCCGGCAGCCAATGTGCGTCCCTGAAGCGTGTCTTATCACTAGTTTTTGAACAGTCATTAAACACAATTATCTGAGCATTTTCAGGAAAATAATAATCATTCGGCACATTGGCATCCAATGGTTGGGAGGACGACGCGACCATCTACCATCCCCCATCTACCCCTTACCCACACCCCCCATCCCCCCATCGTCCCATCCCCCCCCGTCCGCCAGTCCAAGTGGTGCTGCGTGCGCACGGAGATCGTGATCCCTTCTCCCGCCCCTCCCCCCTTCGCACCCCCACTTTTCCCCAACTCTCTCCCCCCCCTTCCTTCTTCTCCCCTCGCCTCCGCCCCCGTCGCTCCGGCCATCCGCCAGTCCAAGTGGTGCTGCGCGCGCGCGGAGGACGACGCGACCATCTACCATCCCCCATCCTTCAACCCACCCACACCATCCATCCCCGCATCCTTTTCCCCGTTCCCCGCATGGCCCCGCCCGCCAGTCCAAGTGGTGCTGCGTGCGCGCGGAGGACGACGCGACCATCTACCGAAAGAAGGTCATGATGAACGTCACGGGGGGTGTGGCGCCGGGCAATCTCCTTGCCATCATGGGGTGAGTGGGTGGGAGTGGGATAGTGTGGGGTGCGGTTGGGATGGGTGAGCGCGTGTGCCACCATCTACCGCAACAAGGTCATGATGAACGCCACGGGGGGGGGTCGCTCCTGGCAACCTGCTGGGCGTCATGGGGTGAGCGGGTGGGAGTGGGATGGCGTGGGGTGGGTGGGAGTGGGATAGTGTGGGGTGCGGTTGGCTTGGGTGAGTGCGTGTGCCACCATCTACCGCAAGAAGGTCATGATGAGCGTCAGGGGGGGTAGGCGCCTGGCAGGCAACCGGCTGGCCGTCATGGGGTGAGTGAGCGAGTGGGATGGGATTGTTGATTGCATGTGAGACTAGCAACAAGGTCGTGATGAACCTTACGGGGGGAGTGGCTCCTTCCCCTCCCTCCCCTCCTCTCCCTCTCCTCCCTCGCTTTCCCTCGCTCCCCTCCCCTCCCTTCCCTTCCCCTCCTTCCACTTCCTCCTCCCCTTCTCCTCCCCCCCTCCCTTCCCCTTGCTCCCCCTCCCTCCCCTCCCCTCGCTCTCAACCCCGAGGGATCAGGCAAGTCGCTGCTGCTGCACATGCTGGCGGGGCGGCTGGAGGGCGACCCACCCCAACTCGCTCTCCACCCCGTCTTCCTCCCCTCCCCACAATCCAGCCCTGAGGGATCTGGAAAGTCGTTGCTGCTGCACATGCTGGCGGGGCGGCTGGAGGGCGACCCACCCCAACTCGCTCTCCACCCCGTCTTCCTCCCCTCCCCACAATCCAGCCCTGAGGGATCTGGAAAGTCGTTGCTGCTGCACATGCTGGCGGGGCGGCTGGAGGGCGACCCACCCCAACTCGCTCTCCACCCCGTCTTCCTCCCCTCCCCACAATCCAGCCCTGAGGGATCTGGAAAGTCGTTGCTGCTGCACATGCTGGCGGGGCGGTTGGAGGGCGACCCACCCCAACTCGCTCTCCACCCCGTCTTCCTCCCCTCCCCACAATCCAGCCCTGAGGGATCTGGAAAGTCGTTGCTGCTGCACATGCTGGCGGGGCGGCTGGAGGGCGACCCACCCCAACTCGCTCTCCACCCCGTCTTCCTCCCCTCCCCACAATCCAGCCCTGAGGGATCTGGAAAGTCGTTGCTGCTGCACATGCTGGCGGGGCGGCTGGAGGGCGACCCACCCCAACTCGCTCTCCACCCCGTCTTCCTCCCCTCCCCACAATCCAGCCCTGAGGGATCTGGAAAGTCGTTGCTGCTGCACATGCTGGCGGGGCGGTTGGAGGGCGACCCACCCCAACTCGCTCTCCACCCCGTCTTCCTCCCCTCCCCACAATCCAGCCCTGAGGGATCTGGAAAGTCGTTGCTGCTGCACATGCTGGCGGGGCGGCTGGAGGGCGACCCACCCCAACTCGCTCTCCACCCCGTCTTCCTCCCCTCCCCACAATCCAGCCCTGAGGGATCTGGAAAGTCGTTGCTGCTGCACATGCTGGCGGGGCAGCTGGAGGGCGACCCACCCCAACTCGCTCTCCACCCCGTCTTCCTCCCCTCCCCACAATCCAGCCCTGAGGGATCTGGAAAGTCGTTGCTGCTGCACATGCTGGCGGGGCGGCTGGAGGGCGACCCACCCCAACTCGCTCTCCACCCCGTCTTCCTCCCCTCCCCACAATCCAGCCCTGAGGGATCTGGAAAGTCGTTGCTGCTGCACATGCTGGCGGGGCGGCTGGAGGGCGACCCACCCCAACTCGCTCTCCACCCCGTCTTCCTCCCCTCCCCACAATCCAGCCCTGAGGGATCTGGAAAGTCGTTGCTGCTGCACATGCTGGCGGGGTGGCTGGAGGGCGACCCACCCCAACTCGCTCTCCACCCCGTCTTCCTCCCCTCCCCACAATCCAGCCCTGAGGGATCTGGAAAGTCGTTGCTGCTGCACATGCTGGCGGGGCGGCTGGAGGGCGGGCGACGCCAACTCCTCCTTCCCCTATGCCCCCCTCCCCTCCCTCGCTCAACGCAGTCCGGAAGGGTCGGGCAAGTCGCTGCTGCTGCACATGCTGGCGGGGCGGCTGGAGGGCGACCCCAATGTCCGTGGCAGCATAGAGTACAGCGGGGAGCCGTTTGGGGCCTTCAGGACCACCCACCCCATCTCCCCGTCCTTCCCTCTCCCCCTTTTTTTTGCCCCTCCCCTCCCCTCTGTGAACCTTTCATCTCTCTCTCCCCTAGTCCCGAGGGATCTGGAAAATCTCTGCTGCTGCACATGCTGGCGGGGCGGCTGGAGGGCGACGCCAACTTCCCTCTCCTGCTGCCCGTCATACCCCTCAATCCCTCCTCTCCACCCTCCTTCCCTTGAAAACCAGCCCCGAGGGCTCAGGCAAGTCGCTACTGCTGCACATGCTGGCGGGGCGTCTGGAGGGCGACGCCAACTTCCGCGGCAGCATAGAGTACAGCGGCGAGCCGTTTGGGGCGACGCTGAGGCGCGAGATTGGGTTCGTGGAGAACGACGTCGACCTGCAGGCCAATCTGACGGTGAGGATTTGTTTGGATGGGTGATCTGACGGTGGGGGTTGGCTTGCAGGGCGATCTGGCGGTGAAGATCACTTCATGGTCCGTGGGTGAGCTGCGAGCCAGCTTCCTCTGCCAGCCAGCTTCTTCTGCCAGCCAGCTTCTTCTGGCAGCCAGCTTCTTCTGCCAGCCAGCTTCTTCTGCCAGCCAGCTTCTTCTGCCAGCCAGCTTCTTCTGCCAGCCAGCTTCTTCTGCCAGCCAGCTTCTTCTGCCAGCCAGCTTCTTCTGCCAGCCAGCTTCTTCTGCCAGCCAGCTTCTTCTGCCAGCCAGCTTCTTCTGCCAGCCAGCTTCTTCTGCCAGCCAGCTTCTTCTGCCAGCCAGCTTCTTCTGCCAGCCAGCTTCTTCTGCCAGCCAGCTTCTTCTGCCAGCCAGCTTCTTCTGCCAGCCAGCTTCTTCTGCCAGCCAGCTTCTTCTGCCAGCCAGCTTCCTCTGCCAGCCAGCTTCTTCTGCCAGCCAGCTTCTTCTGCCAGCCAGCTTCTTCTGCCAGCCAGCTTCTTCTGCCAGCCAGCTTCTTCTGCCAGCCAGCTTCTTCTGCCAGCCAGCTTCTTCTGCCAGCCAGCTTCTTCTGCCAGCCAGCTTCTTCTGCCAGCCAGCTTCTTCTGCCAGCCAGCTTCTTCTGCCAGCCAGCTTCTTCTGCCAGCCAGCTTCTTCTGCCAGCCAGCTTCTTCTGCCAGCCAGCTTCTTCTGCCAGCCAGCTTCTTCTGCCAGCCAGCTTCTTCTGCCAGCCAGCTTCTTCTGCCAGCCAGCTTCTTCTGCCAGCCAGCTTCCTTCTGCCAGCCAGCTTCTTCTGCCAGCCAGCTTCTTCTGCCAGCCAGCTTCTTCTGCCAGCCAGCTTCTTCTGCCAGCCAGCTTCTTCTGCCAGCCAGCTTCTTCTGCCAGCCAGCTTCTTCTGCCAGCCAGCTTCTTCTGCCAGCCAGCTTCTTCTGCCAGCCAGCTTCTTCTGCCAGCCAGCTTCTTCTGCCAGCCAGCTTCTTCTGCCAGCCAGCTTCTTCTTGCCAGCCAGCTTCTTCTGCCAGCCAGCTTCTTCTGCCAGCCAGCTTCTTCTGCCAGCCAGGCTTCTTCTGCCAGCCAGCTTCTTCTGCCAGCCGGCTTCTTCTGCCAGCCAGCTTCTTCTGCCAGCCAGCTTCTTCTGCCAGCCAGCTTCTTCTGCCAGCCAGCTTCTTCTGCCAGCCAGCTTCTTCTGCCAGCCAGCTTCTTCTGCCAGCCAGCTTCTTCTGCCAGCCAGCTTCTTCTGCCAGCCAGCTTCTTCTGCCAGCCAGCTTCTTCTGCCAGCCAGCTTCTTCTGCCAGCCAGCTTCTTCTGCCAGCCAGCTTCTTCTGCCAGCCAGCTTCTTCTGCCAGCCAGCTTCTTCTGCCAGCCAGCTTCTTCTGCCAGCCAGCTTCCTCTGCCAGCCAGCTTCTTCTGCCAGCCAGCTTCTTCTGCCAGCCAGCTTCTTCTGCCAGCCAGCTTCTTCTGCCAGCCAGCTTCTTCTGCCAACCAGCTTCCTCTGCCAGCCAGCTTCTTCTGCCAGCCAGCTTCTTCTGCCAGCCAGCTTCCTCTGCCAGCCAGCTTCTTCTGCCAGCCAGCTTCTTCTGCCAGCCAGCTTCTTCTGCCAGCCAGCTTCTTCTGCCAGCCAGCTTCTTCTGCCAGCCAGCTTCTTCTGCCAGCCAGCTTCCTCTGCCAAAGTTCACGGGAGGATTGGGTGTAGGAGGGGAGGGGTGCGCAGAAGAAGGAGCATTGAGCACAGCGGCAAGCCGTTTGGGGCCACGCTGAGGCGCGAGATTGGGTTCGTGGAGAACGACGTCGACCTGCAGGCCAATCTGACCGTGAGGATTGATTTTGGATGGGTGATCCGACGGCGAGGGTTGGCCGGCTGGTTGATCTGACGGTGGGGGTTGGCTTGCAGGGCGATCTGACGGTGAGTATGACTTGTTTTGGTCAGTTGAGCAAGACGTTATGAATCATCTCCCTCCCCCAACTCCGCCCTCCCTCCTCTCAGAGACGCTCATGTTCGCGGCCATGCGGCGGCTGCCTGAGGGCACTGAGAGGGCATGGAGAGGGCATGGAGAGGGCACGGAGAAGGCACGGAGGAGAACAAACAAGGGAGCTAACTGCTCCCCCCACCCTTCCACACCCACCCCTTCAACCCCAACCCCACGCTCATGTTCGCGGCCAGGCTGCGGCTGCCCGAGGGCACGGAGGAGATTGCAGAGACACACTCGCCCCTCCTCTCGCTCATCCTCTCCCCCTCATCCACCCCCCCGCCTCCACCCCCCGGCAGGTGAAACAGACGCTCATGTTCGCAGCCATGCTGCGGCTACCTGAGGGCACGGAGGTGATCCAAGAATCAGTGTGCTTACCTCTTTTCCTCCTTCCACCCCCTCCCCCCTCCCCTTCCCCCTCTCCCCCCTTCCGGCCGCAGATGAAGGAGACGCTCATGTTCGCGGCCATGCTGCGGCTGCCCGAGGACACGGAGGAGATTGCAGAGACACTCGCCCCTCCTCTCGCTCATCCTCTCCCCCTCATCCACCCCCCCGCCTCCACCCCCCGGCAGGTGAAACAGATGCTCATGTTCGCAGCCATGCTGCGCCTGCCCGAGGGCACGGAGGAGATCCAAGAATCAGTGTGCTTACCATCTTATCCTCCTTCCTCCCCCTCCCCCCTCCCCTTCCCCCTCCCCCCTCCCCTTCCCCCTCTCCCCCCTTCCGGCCGCAGGTAAAGGAGACGCTCATGTTCGCGGCCATGCTGCGGCTGCCTGAGGGCACGGAGGAGATCGACCAGATCGTGCGAGTGGAGCATGTGCTTGACTCGCTGGAGCTCACTCAGTGAGTGGAGGGACGAGGGGGAGAGGTGATGGGTATATGGGGCTGGGTGGGGAGATGGGCAGGTGGATTGCGGTGGTTGGGTGGGAATGCAGAAGTGAGGGCGCGGAGGGGATAGATCAGATCGTGCGAGTGGAGCATGCGCTGGATTCACTGGAGCTCACACAGTGAGTGGAGAATGGGGTAGGGGATGAGTGATTGCGTGGGTGGGTGGGTGATTAGATGGGTGGTGTGCTGGTTGCTCACAGGGGGGTGCAGTGAGGGCACGGAGGAGATGGACCAGATGGTGCGTGTGGTGTGGAGCATGTGCGGGCAGCGGGACTCACTTCAGCTCACACACGCTCAGCTTGAGACGCGCTTCGGCTCACACAGTGAGTGCTGCTGAGATGGGAAGGGGGGAGGGTGGTGGCTGGGTGCATGGGGTGTGCAGAGAGTGCGAGTGGAGCATGTGTTTGACTCGCGAGTTGACTTTTGAGTCGACTCAAAAGTCAGAGAGTGCGAGTGGAGCATGTGTTTGACTCGCGAGTTGACTTTTGAGTCGACTCAAAAGTCAGAGAGTGCGAGTGGAGCATGTGTTTGACTCGCGAGTTGACTTTTGAGTCGACTCAAAAGTCAGAGAGTGCGAGTGGAGCATGTGTTTGACTCGCGAGTTGACTTTTGAGTCGACTCAAAAGTCAGAGAGTGCGAGTGGAGCATGTGTTTGACTCGCAGTAGCTCACACAGTGAGTGCTGCTGGCAGGGGGTTTGGGTGGGTGGGTGGGTGGGTGGGTGGGTGGACAAGGTGATAGGTTGCACAGGTGGGTGCGCGGACGAGGTGATAGGTTGCACGAGGCGCAATGCAGTGCTGTACAACGAGCTCAGGCGCCTGGTGCACTCTTCTTTCCTCCTCCGCCCCTTTATCCCATAACCTCTCAAACCCTTACCCCCTATGCGCACCCTCCTTCCACTTCCTCCCCTTTCCTTTAATGACACCCCCCCAGCTGTGCGGACAAGGCGATAGGGCGCACAGGGCGCAACGCGGTGCTGTATAACGAGCTCAGGCGACTGGTGCACCAGTCGGGTGTTTTTGGTTTGAGACGTCTCACGTGGCGACTGGTGCACCAGGGTGTTTTTGTTTTGAGACGTCTCCAAAACACCCGACTGGTACACTCCTTCTTTCACGTGGCGACTGGTGCACCAGGGTACAGGTTCCCTTGAGAATTCTCAAAAACACCCGACTGGTGCACCTGCACTATCCCAACCCCATCTCCCCATTCCCCCATCTCCCTCCCCATCCTCCCCAATCCCCCCTCACTCCCTCTCCTCATCCCTCCAATTCTCCCCCCTCCCCAGCTGTGCGGACAAGGTGATAGGGCGCACGGGGCGCAATGCAGTGCTGTACAACGAGCTCAGGCGCCTGGCCATTGGGGTGCAAATGATTGTTAACCCACCGCTGCTGCTGCTCGATGAACCAACTTCGGGGTGGGTACCGGGGGGGTAGGGGATGACTGGGGGGTGCATGGTCACATGTGGGAGTGTATGCGGCTGGCCATCGGGGTGCAGATGATCGTCATGTCAACCCGCCTCTGCTGCTGCTGGACGAACCGACCTCTGGGTGAGTAGTGGGTGGGGTTACCTTGTTACGGTGTTACGCGTGCATTGTCGCATGCAGGGTGTGTGTTGGCTGTCAGCTGTCTGCTGCTGCCGGATGAACCGACCTCAGGGTGGGTGGTGAGGGTTAGGGGATCACTGTTGGGGTGGGTGAGTGGGGGGTGCATGGTCACATGGGGGGGTGTGTGTGGTGGCTTAGGCGCCTGGCCATCAGTGTGCAGATGATCGTCAATCTGCCGCTGCTGCTGTGATGAACCGACTTCGGGGTAGGTTGTGGGGTTACCGTGGTGTACTGTCACACTAGCGCACTGTTATATATACTAGTACACTGCTATATATACTAGTACACTGTTACATATACTAGTACACTGTTATATGTACTAGTACAGTGTTACATATACTAGTACACTGTTAAATATTCCAGTTCACTGCAATATATACTAGTCCCAATCCCAGTCTTGATGGTGCCATGAGAAAGAAGGAGTGTTTTGAGACGCTGCAGTGAACTGGTTCTCAAAACAATCCCAGTCTTGATGGTGCCATGAGTGCAGTCATATGAGTGCAGAGCATACCCCGCGCCCTGCCCTCATATTGGTCCCCCCTCAACCGCTCTCAACCGCTCTCTTCCCACCCTCTTCCCCCCTCCGCCAAGATGTTCTCTCTCTTCCCACCCTCTTCCCCCCGCCGCCAAGATGTTCTCTCTCTTCCCACCCTCTTCCCCCCTCCGCCAAGATGTTCTCTCTCTTCCCACCCTCTTCCCCCCGCCGCCAAGATGTTCTCTCTCTTCCCACCCTCTTCCCCCCTCCGCCAAGATGTTCTCTCTCTTCCCACCCTCTTCCCCCCTCCGCCAAGATGTTCTCTCTCTTCCCACCCTCTTCCCCCCTCCGCCAAGATGTTCTCTCTCTTCCCACCCTCTTCCCCCCTCCGCCAAGATGTTCTCTCTCTTCCCACCCTCTTCCCCCCTCCGCCAAGATGTTCTCTCTCTTCCCACCCTCTTCCCCCCTCCTCCAAGATGTTCTCTCTCTTCCCACCCTCTTCCCCCCGCCGCCAAGATGTTCTCTCTCTTCCCACCCTCTTCCCCCCTCCGCCAAGATGTTCTCTCTCTTCCCACCCTCTTCCCCCCTCCGCCAAGATGTTCTCTCTCTTCCCACCCTCTTCCCCCCTCCGCCAAGATGTCCTCTCTCTTCCCACCCTCTTCCCCCCTCCGCCAAGATGTTCTCTCTCTTCCCACCCTCTTCCCCCCTCCGCCAAGATGTTCTCTCTCTTCTCACCCTCTTCCCCCCTCCGCCAAGATGTTCTCTCTCTTCCCACCCTCTTCCCCCCTCCGCCAAGATGTTCTCTCTCTTCCCACCCTCTTCCCCCCTCCGCCAAGATGTTCTCTCTCTTCCCACCCTCTTCCCCCCGCCGCCAAGATGTTCTCTCTCTTCCCACCCTCTTCCCTCCTCCGCCAAGATGTTCTCTCTCTTCCCACCCTCTTCCCCCCTCCTCCAAGATGTTCTCTCTCTTCCCACCCTCTTCCCCCCTCCGCCAAGATGTTCTCTCTCTTCCCACCCTCTTCCCCCCTCCGCCAAGATGTTCTCTCTCTTCCCACCCTCTTCCCCCCTCCGCCAAGATGTTCTCTCTCTTCCCACCCTCTTCCCCCTCCTCCAAGATGTTCTCTCTCTTCCCACCCTCTTCCCCCCTCCGCCAAGATGTTCTCTCTCTTCCCACCCTCTTCCCCCCTCCGCCAAGATGTTCTCTCTCTTCCCACCCTCTTCCCCCCTCCGCCAAGATGTTCTCTCTCTTCCCACCCTCTTCCCCCCTCCGCCAAGATGTTCTCTCTCTTCCCACCCTCTTCCCCCCTCCGCCAAGATGTTCTCTCTCTTCCCACCATCTTCCCCCCTCCGCCAAGATGTTCTCTCTCTTCCCACCCTCTTCCCCCCTCCGCCAAGATGTTCTCTCTCTTCCCACCCTCTTCCCCCCTCCGCCAAGATGTTCTCTCTCTTCCCACCCTCTTCCCCCCTCCGCCAAGATGTTCTCTCTCTTCCTACCCTCTTCCCCCCTCCGCCAAGATGTTCTCTCTCTTCCCACCCTCTTCCCCCCTCCTCCAAGATGTTCTCTCTCTTCCCACCCTCTTCCCCCCTCCGCCAAGATGTTCTCTCTCTTCCCACCCTCTTCCCCCCTCCGCCAAGATGTTCTCTCTCTTCCCACCCTCTTCCCCCCTCCGCCAAGATGTTCTCTCTCTTCCCACCCTCTTCCCCCCTCCGCCAAGATGTTCTCTCTCTTCCCACCCTCTTCCCCCCTCCGCCAAGATGTTCTCTCTCTTCCCACCCTCTTCCCCCCTCCGCCAAGATGTTCTCTCTCTTCCCACCCTCTTCCCCCCTCCGCCAAGATGTTCTCTCTCTTCCCACCCTCTTCCCCCCTCCGCCAAGATGTTCTCTCTCTTCCCACCCTCTTCCCCCCTCCGCCAAGATGTTCTCTCTCTTCCCACCCTCTTCCCCCCTCCGCCAAGATGTTCTCTCTCTTCCCACCCTCTTCCCCCCTCCGCCAAGATGTTCTCTCTCTTCGCGCCCGCATCTCCCAACCCCCCTGTCAGGCTCCATGGGGCCGGGGCGCTCCACATTACAATAAGAGCGTTGCATTCCTACGCGCTAGCGGGGCGGGCGGTAGTGCCAACAATGAAGCCGCCATCATGAAAGATGTTCTCTCTCTTCACTCACCTCCTTCTCATCACCACCGGCAACCCCATCTTCTTCACCCTTTGCTCTCTTTCCCCTCTTCCCGCTCCCCTTCCCGCTTTCTCCCATCCCTCTTTCTCCCATCCCTCCGCCCTTTTTCCTCAATACCCTCTTCCCAGTCTCGATGGTGCCATGGCTCTCCGCATAACCAGAGCTCTGCACTCATATGCGCTAGCAGGCAGATCAGTGGTAGCAACAATGAAGCAGCCGTCCTCCAAGATGTTCTCTCTCTTCACGCACCTCCTCCTCATCACCGACGGAAACCCCATCTTCTTCGGCGCGGCTGATGCCGCTCTCCCCTACTTCGACTCCATCGGCTACACCATGGCCCCGGACACCAGCGCTGCCGAGTTCTTCCTCGTGAGTGCCTGTGCCCTCACTGCTCCTTGTTTGAAGAAGTGTTTTGAGACGTCTCAAAACAGTTCTTCCTCGTGAGTGCCTGTGCCCTCACTGCTCCTTTCTCATCAAATCGCTGACTGCCCACTCCTTCCCTTCCCTGCCCTAATTTGACTCCATTGGCCACACCATGGCCCCAGACATTAGTGCTGCCGAGTTAGTCCTGGTGAGCGCCTAAAGACCACACTGCTCACTGGCTGGTTGTGCTCTGCCCTCTTCTCCTGCTGCTCTCCCCCACTTTTTTACTCTTCCCTTACCCCCCTGTACCATTCCGCTCACCCTTTTTCCTTCCCATCCTTTCAGGACCTGACGGCCCCCGAAGCAGCGGACGCATCGATTCATTTCGGCACGTCCACCAACCTCATCCGCCTGTGGGCCACCGGTGACGCCGCCAGGGAGATAGAGCGAGCCGCCATGCCCTCTGCTGCTGCTGCCTCTGCTAAGAGACGCAAGGGGAAAGACGCTGGGAATGGGGATGTTGAGGAAGGGGAGGGAGCAGGAGGGGGAGCGGGGACAGGAGGGGGAGAGGAAGGGGGTGTGGGAACTCGCGTGAGGGATGTAGATGCAACTACAGACTGGCGGGTAGCGAGTGGGGGGGGAGGGGGGGGGGGGAGGGGGAGGGGGAGGAGCGGGTGGGGGAGGAGGGGGAGGAGGCGGAGTGGGGAGTGGGAAGAGGTGGGTGACGTCATGGGGTTACCAGTTCCGTGTGCTGGCACGGCGGCATGTGCTGTCGTATCGGGTGGTGAATCAGGACTGGATCTTCGTGGGTGTGGTGGCGGCAAGCCTGGTTGTGTGCTCCTTACTGCCAGGTGCGTGTATAAGAGGAAGGTTGAATCGCCTCAACAGTCACCTTGGTTGGCATGTGCTGTCTGTCAACTCGCGTGGTGCCCATTCTCGGGACTCGTGCCCATGCTTACCTTCCTCATCACCTTCCTCATCACCCTCCTCATCACCTTCCTCATCACCTTCCTCATCACCTTCCTCCCCACAATCCTCCCATCCTTCTCACCCCACCCTCCTCAGGCTGCCTGTGGTACAAGTGTGACCCCACCACAGGGCAAGGGGTTGGGGACCTGGCGGCGTTGATTTTCTTCTCTCAGTTCTTCTGGGGACTCGTGCCCATGCTCACCTCTGTCATCACCTCCTCACAGCCCTCCAATCCACCTCACCCCATCCACACCAGGCTGCCTGTGGTACAAGCGCGACCCCACCACAGCCCAGGGAGTTCGCGACCTGGCAGGGCTGATTTTCTTCTCACAGTTCTTCTGGGGCCTCGTGCCCATGCTCACCTCCGTCATCACCTTTTTAGAAGACCGCAAGTCAGTCCAAAAAGAGCAAGAGGACGGCGTGTATCATATCTCCGCGTACTACGCCGCCCGGACGCTCCTCAGCCTGCCGTACGAGATCCTGCCACCTGTCTTCTACAGCCTCATCGTCTACTGGATGACCGGGCTGAACCCGTCGGGCGGCCGGTTCGTCTTATTCACTCTCGTCCTTATCCTAGATACGATGGTGGCTTCGTCCATTGGGATGGCGGTCGGCACGGCATCGTCTACAGTGAAACAGGGGATCTCAATAGCGGCGATCCTGCAGCTGCTGTCGGTGATGGTCGTGCATTTCTTGTCTCTCAGTCCCCCCGACTGGGTGGGGTGGACGCAGTACCTCTCCTTCTCCACCTACGTCAACAAGGTGAGTCATTTCTTGGAGCCTTGAATAATCCCACATTTATCAGAGGCGTGCTCTTACAAAATAAAAAAGAGAGAAAAAAGGTCCAGATAGTTAGCTCTATATTTGCCCTCAGCCATATTATGTACTTTTGCGCGCTTTCCATACTTTCACTTCTGTGCCTGGGCTACATCCTGTGCTACAGTTCGTGCTGCACTCTGGACTGCTTTATTGGCTGCGTTCTTTGCTTCATCTTTCCTCTTGCACGCTCACTCATTTGCCCTCAATCGTCCCCCCCTCCCCACCACCCCTTTCCGCTGCCTGGCCCATTCATGCCGCAATTTCCCACTCGCCAGTTGTTAATGCGAATCAACTTTGATTCTGCCGAATACTACACTGGTAACTGTGGCATATCGCCTTCTAACAGCTCTGCTGCCACTGCCAACACATGCTCGTGTGCGGCTACTCTGGAGCTATCGGGTATAAAGAATCCGTTACCCGGGAATGGGTGGTTGGAAGCGAGCATTCTCGTTGCTATGCTAGTCTTCTTCCGCCTGCTTGCTTTGCTTACAGTGAAGCTTCGGTTGCAGTCGTGGCGTTGGTATCGTAATGGCCGCACATAAATAGTAGAGTTACGTAAAGCCATTTATATTAGTATTTAGGCTACGGTTATCTTATTTGTAGGACACGTGTTATCCTTGTTAGCCAGTCAGGGTGGTTTTTCAAGCCAAAGCCTAGCTTCACAACCATACTGATTTTATGCAATTACTCTGCAATTACTCCCGCTGCCCCTGCTGGGATGCCGTTACAAATTTGTGTTGTACAGTCGATGCTCAGCCTGTCACAAAACATTTGCGCTCCAACATTAGAAATTTAGTCACTCGCGAACATTTTGCCCGTGAGTGGCTAAATTGACCATTGTGCCGATTTCGGGGTACAGTCATCAAGTTGAAGAAAAACATCTACATCTCATAAACAACAACGGTTGCCCGTAATCAGAGAAGTTAACCTGGCTACAAAATTAAAACCCTTGACTCGATTCATGTTGCAATTTCATATTACTGTCACATTTTTGCCCGTGGCGACAAGGGCGAACGTGGCGAAATGCCTAAAACATTTTTCACGCACATGCCGCCCGCCTATCTGGTGTTCTTGAAATGGGCACCGACTGTACTCCCCTGCCCGCATTCCTTCGGTTTCAATTTGACAGGCGCTGTAACCCGGCCTGCTGGACTGCCTGGTCACGCGGTTGGCTGCTCAGGCCTTGCTGGCAAGGCAAGTGATCTTATGGCAGCAGGTCCGACAGGTCATCTTCTTCCCACAGTACCAGTTGACACGTAGTGTCGGTGGATCTGTTCCTTCGCTGTCCGGCTGTCGGCGCTGCACTTGCTGTGGCTGGAAGGACGTTTCAGGTCGCAACTTGCTGAATAATCTCTCGCGCACCTGATGTAACCACTTCGCAATTGGGAATCAGCCATCTGGCGTCAAACTTGACGTTCGCAACGAGCAGTCCTGACGGCTGCAAAAAGATCTCCACGCTGGTTGTCAGATACGTTACTGTTCTTATCTGGCGTTTTCTGTTCTTCACGTCGATTTGACAGAAGATAAGACCGCTGCATGAGCAGTGCACACGGTACTGTGTACTGTTGCATCCGCGTGGTCGGTGCCTGCCCACCCGCCCCGGTCACTCCTTCCTCGCATCCGCGGCGCTCGCTCCAAACCAGCCCCAAGTCCAACCCGGCCAAGCCTAGTCGTGCGCAGCAAAATCAGGCCAAGCTTTTCCTGGCCAGCAAGAAAAGAGGCAGCAAGGGCAAGAGCAAGCCAAGCCCTGGGCAGCACGATTCCGAATCGCAGGTTCTGGAAATTCGTTTCGAGCAACCGCGTTTGCCCTTCATGTGGACGTGGTTCGTTCACTCCCTCCCTGTCACTCATTTTCTGCGGGCAATCTCCCATCTCCGCGTATCCGAAGTCGAGGGGAAAGAGATCCTTCACCGCGTGTACATTCCCGCCACAGAATCCCCCCTCCCCCGACACCCCCCTTTCCCCCAAACTTCCTTCCGCTCCACTCTACTTCCTCCGCCTTCAACCGAATCGCAACCCACGCCTCACCGAACTTCCACCGCCCCATATATGTTCGTTCCTCTTTCCTCGTAAATTATCGAAGTTAAGCAATTTAGTCGTCGTCATCGCTTGACCAGTCACGTTTCTACGAGCAAGGATCGGCAGGGATCGAGAGCAGCAAGCAGCAGCGAACGCAAGAATTCGCAAATCGAGAGCACGCAATACGTCTAACCTAACACGGGCGTCTCACTCTAAAAATGGCCAACACAATTTCTGGTCTTCTTTCTTCTAACCCTCTCAAGCGCAAGACGTCCCACACGTCTTGCATCTCCCCCTCAAACGCTGCTGCTCTCCCTCCCTGCCTATCCTCCGACTCGACCTCCTTCACCGGCTTCTTCTCTTCCTCCTCCGCCGCCGTGGCCGCCGACGCTGGCGCTTCGTCTCAGAATGAGCACCCGAACCAGCCCTCCGCCAAGCGCTACCGCGGCGTGCGACAGCGCTCCTGGGGCAAGTGGGTGTGCGAGATTCGCGAGCCGCGCACGCGCGCGCGCGTGTGGCTGGGATCGTACAGTTCTGCGGAGGAGGCCGCGCGCGTCTACGACACCGCTGCACTCATGCTGCACGGAGCGCACGGCGCGGAGCGCCGGCTGAACTTCCCCCACGCGGCGGCGACCTCCATCGAGGGCGGAATCCGCATGCGCCCCGTCGTGGTCTCCCGCGCAACGGCGGAGTCCCTCCTCCGCGCGGCGCGCAACCTCGCCGCGTCCGCGACCGGCGCGGAGTCTGCGGCCGCGGAAGCGGACACGAAGTCATTCAACAGCGAATGGGTACAGATGGAAATCGCGGGCGGTAACGTCCTCTTTGCGGAGTGCCCCGCGCCCGGGCTCCTCCCATTCACCCCCATCGCTCCAGCTCCCGCCGTTGCGCCGTCGGTCCCCGCTGCCGCCCCCGCGCCTGCTGCCAATCCCTCATCTTCTCCTGTCCCCACTCTCTCGTCTTGCGACAACCTGCCCGTCGCATCGTTCACAAGTGCCGCCGACGTCGCAGACGTTGCGTGCTTCAGCAGTTACAACGACAGCAGCTCTATTCTGGAGCTTCCAGAGCTCCACTGGCCGGAAATCGAGAAGTCCGAGTCGACACTCTTCGAGGACGCCTGGAATCTGTCCGATGAGGAGCTTTTCGGCTCCGTTTCCGCTTCCGCCTCCGCCTCCGCTTCCGCTTCCCCCTCCCGCGACTCAGCCTTCGCCTGGGAGTCCGAGTCCGCCGCCCCGCTCGAGAGCCCCGTTCCGTTTTTCCCGGTCGAGGACGAGGGAATTCAGTTCGTGCCGTCTCCGCCGACGCTTCCGCTGGTGTTCCCTGCACCTGTCAACGCGCCCTTGTCGCCGTCTTCCTCTTACGACAGCGTGTCGCGCTCCGCTTCCGTCGGCACGGCCTCCGCCGCCTCCGCGGGCTCCGCGGGGAACGCGCAGCAGCAGCAGCGCGCGGACGTGCTGGTGTCGCTGGTGCGCGAGTTGACGAGCATCACGGCGGTGCTGCAGCACCTGCAGAAGGAGCATCAGCTGCGGCTGATGCAGCAGCAGCAGGCGCAGGTGCAGCAGTAGAATCCTGAATGTGACTCGCGACAGCTGGCCAAACTCGGTCACCAGTTTCGTCTACTTTCGTCAGTCACTCCCTCCTTCGGCTCACACTCTTCTCATCACGACCCCCCAATCACCTTAAAAGTCCCTCTCCATTTCCTCGGAACCGTCCTACCCTCCTATCCTTTTCGGGACTCTACTTCTACACCTGCGATTTCATCTTTTCCTCCGTCTTACACTCTTCGGAAACTTCTCAGTCCTATCCTCAGCCTCCCCCTCTACCCTCCAATCGGCTGCCCTCGGGGAAGCCAGCCATCATGAAGGCCCTAAGCACCGTTTTTAATTAAGTGTGCCCTACAGGTCCTCATGATGATTGTCTTTCTTCCCGAAAGCCAACCTCCTGACGAGCTTGAGAGGAGTTGGTACCTTACCTTTCTCCTCGGACCGTCCTCAAGCTCTTGTTTCAACAGATCTCTCTCCTGATAATGTCGAAGGTCCTAAATTCCTCAACCCGAACCTGCTCTTCTCCTAAATATTTCTGAGTTGCCCAGTACCCTAGAGTTCACGAGTCCTGCCTGTTTCTCCCCTCGGTGTTACCTCGCTAAATGCGTCTGCTGTACTTTGTTAAATACAATGTGTAGGTATTATTTTCGTCAAATATCTGCTTGTGAGCAATCAGCTTTACTTGTGACTCCCATTTTCTTGTGAAATTAAATAAACGAACTCTACACCCAATAACGAGATTCCTTCCTTGCAGTCACAATAATGTTGTAGTGACTTTAGTCTATCTCTAAATCAAATTAATACACCACAATCTACATGACCTATAGCATGCCTAATGGCACAAATTGTGAATAACATTAAAAATTGACATGTATAGGCATATCAATTGGCATCCTAACCTGACCCTGTCATCTTAGAACCAGCTCCAGCATGGAGTGTCCGTGCAAGACCTCCAAGCATGGCCCCCAATACATAGCTGTCGACCACGGGCTGTGAGGCACGGCCAGTCAGGCATGGGCTCAGGGACGGACCGTCGTCAGGCACGGGCTGTCAGGCACGGGCTGTCAGGCACGGGCTGTCAGGCACGGGCTGTCAGGCACGGCGGTCAGGCACGGGCTGTCAGCTAGTGAGCATTGAACCCTCTGGATTCCCCAGGCACTCCTCAATCTCCTTCCAGTCTAAACTCGGCAGCGATGGGAACTCTGCCGGCAGGCTCGGCAGCGACGGGAACTCCCCTGGCAGGCTCGGCAGTCGAGGCAAGGAACCCGTTTGGTCCGGTGCCGTCTTGGAAAAGCTGGGCAGGTTCAGGAGCGGCTGAGAGGAGAAACTGGGCAGGTTTAGGGGAGCCTGGGGGGAGACGCTTGGGGGCTGCTGTAAGGGCCCCGCTTTAGCAGTAGGGGATGACGTGTCCATGCTGCTGCTATCCGCGTTACTAGATCTGCTGTTGACAATATCGCTGTCCTCCTGTCCCAGATCAGTGAGAAACGGAGCGAAAGAGGTGTAGCTCGTGAAATTGCTGTCTAGATTTTGAACTGCACAACTGCTGCTGGGAGCACTGGGGGGAGCAGCAAGAGTAGCGGCGGGTGGAGCAGAGTTGGGAGCAGCTGCGGTAGTAAGGGGAGGAAAGTCTATGGCGGGATTAGCAGTGGCCATTTGATCTGCAGTGGAAGCTGGGATATGATCAGCAGTGAGGGTATCGGTGGTGAGCTGTGCGGAAGGCGCGCAGAGGTGCGCGAAGGTGGGGTGCGCGAGCAGCGCGCGCGAAAGCTCCGCCCCGCCGGCGTAAGCGGCGGAAGCGACGGGAGCGGCGGAATCCGCGAACGGGGACATTACGGAAAAAGCTGAGGCGCTAATCGCACGTGGGGAGGAAGGGGCGGTGGTTGCGGGGAACGCCCGGGAGCCGCCAAACGACGGGCCTGGGGGGAACCGCGGGGAGTGCAGCGGCGAGCGGGAGGGGGAGCGGACGCGCGCGGGGCTGTACCCCATACCGCTCATAGGGCTTCCGGGGAGAGACAGGGCGGAGGAACGGCGGGAGGGGACGATTATGGGGGGACCGGCGGAAAAGGTGGGAGGCGCGTCGGAGAAGAGCGACAGGGCAGCGGAGAAGGAATCTGCTGGCGCCGCGACGCGGCTGCTGACGAAATCCATCTCAGGCGCAACTTGCGACGCGGCTGCTGACGTAACGCCAGACGCGCAAGCGGCGGCGTTTGAATCGGCGGCGGTGACGGCATTCCGAGCGGCGACGCCGCGTTTCGGCGAGATCTGGCCGTTCGCCGTCGGGGATTTGACGGACGACGCGTCTGGAAAGACGCCGCCGCGACCGGCGGCGGGAATCGCGGTGGTGGTGATACCCGGGCTCGCGCAATCGGAGAAGACGACGTTGGAGCCGGTAACCTCGAGGCGCACCCACTCGCCGGTAAAGGTGGGGCTAGCGTGAACCGTGGGGACAGATGCGGTAGCACCAGTGGAGCGGCGGGCACTGCCCGTCGCAGCAAAGGTGGAGGCATCGACAATCATGTCACAAGCGCAAGATGGATTACTCGAATCTTCTTGTTGGGATGGCGACTGCTGCGACTGCTGCGAAAGAGTCAGAGCATTGACGACGCGGAGCAGACCTTCCGCTATAGTGCGCGACACTATAACGGGGCGGATCCCCCCGTCCGCTTGAAGAGCGTCCGGGAAGTTGAGTCTGCGCTCCGCGCCGCTCGCGCCGTGCAGCATGAGCGCGGCGGTGTCGTAGACGCGCGCGGCCTCCTCCGCGGTGCTGTACGATCCTAGCCACACGCGCGCGCGCGTGCGCGGCTCGCGGATCTCGCATACCCACTTGCCCCACGACCGCTGACGCACGCCGCGAAGGCGCTTGGTCGTTGGAGAGTCCAAGTCATAGCGGCTCGGGATTTCCGCGAATTTGCGTTTTAGGTCAAGGTCGTGCGCTGCATTTGAATCCAGAGACATCGCAACGCACTGGCATGAGGCCAATAAGCGGATTCAACAGGCTACGAAATAACTAGAAAGTGACTCACTATTTCGCAAAAACCCTTGTGAGGAGGTGGTCTCCTAATATTTTTCAAGGGCGACTCGTGCAGCTTTTTGCCGAGCCTCACGTTGCCCAGCCTTGGGGCAAAGGAGCCCCTTTTGGCTGGTGCACGGCGGGTGGCGGGCGATTTGCTTGGGGGAAGTTCGGCACATCGTACCAGTGTTGTTGGCTTGGTTTGAGCCGCAGTTCTCGAAAAATCAGGTGGCAGGACCAGAGCCCAACCTGACCAGACCAGGCAACTACTGTACGAGTACATGCACAGTCACCCTTCACTAGGAGCAAGGCTCTCATAAGTCTCAGCTGCACTGCATACACTGTTTCAATGTCTCCAACTAGCAATTGGATGCACAAAATAGACCCACAACTACAAAAAGCAGCAGTCATGCTGTCGATCCTGTTCTGTAGCATCATGCTGGGCAGAAGGGACGTATTTTCATGTCTTGGCCATGAATTAAATTGACAAATGCTGTTGGACCTTCAATGATGGCTACCAAAACTCCTAGACCAATCAAGATGGCCAGAATGAAGATAACAATGGATGAACGACCTGCACATACGGTAAAAAGTGGCAGTAACCAAGTTAAGCTACATTGCTAGTTGCAGATACAAGGTTACACGTGCAACCAAAACACATACCTGTGTTTCTCACGATTCTCCCAACAACGAAGACTCCAACCAGCGACCCAAGGAATGCCACAGGAGCAAACACAGCTGCATAGCTAGTGTTCAGAAAACCATGGAAGAAGAACGAGATGCTGATGGCACTGCTGCTGAAAAGGATCATGAAAACACTTGTCGAGGCCAAGATCTGCGATGCCAACAAAGAGAATTTCATTCAGCTTCTTACCCATGTAAATCAAATTGATGATCCCTAACATTGTCAACACCTGTGGGTGAAGGCCGAGACTAAGGAGATATGGGTTGAAAATAAGTGCTCCTCCGATGCCCACCATCCCAGCCATAGCTCCAGCACATGCAATGATCACAGAGATCTGGAAAGATAGTTCCAAGGAGAGTCAGGGACGCACAAGCTGGAAACATATGCACACCTAAGCAAGAAGTTTGCGTACCTTCAAAAAGCGGGAAATGCTAGAGCCTGATGAGAAAAGCCGAGCAAGGTTTGGGCTCAGAGACGTAGGCCTGCATGTTGCAGGGTGCATGCGCAGCTGCATGAAATATAGCAACCATGGCACAAGGGAATGGCCAGAAGTCACAAAGTGGAGATGTGAAGAGAATAACAGCACTCTATGCCAAAAGGTCCTGCATTGCTCTACCTGTCCTTGAATGGTGCTAACTGCAGCAGCGATGCAGACAAACAGCTGCAACCCCCACAGCTGGAAAAAGGACGAGGAACAGCGGCTAGCTTGACTAAGACCCCACTGAAGAGCCATGAAAAGAGACCAAAGAACTGCAGGAAAAGAACAGGAAATAGATATGACATAGAGGTTCTCACAAATCTCAAAAGAAGCCGAAAAAACCAGTGGAACATACCGAGGGTGTAGAGAAATGGCATTGCCACGTGGTGGATGTGCGAGAGAAGCTGATTTCCTGATTCATTCAGATAATGCTGCATCCACTTCCAGTGGCGGTTGAAGAACTGCGAAATCTCACATCCAGCCACTGACAGGAAATCCACTCCCTCACATGTTTCGGGAACGTCAAACGTAACTTGATGCTGGCCCGATTCATCTGGGTTGACGAATGAGACAGGCAGGAGTCCTTCGGCAGCAGCAGTATGTGCAACCCTCTGCAAGTGCAATGATCAGATGCTCTTCAAGGTACGAATAGTTCAGAGCAAGCATGATAGCTCAACGTACTACAGATACCCACCCTTCTTTCTGACTCTTTCTTCCATGACCTTCGTGCTCGTGCATACGTCTTATGTACAACGAAAATGAGCAAAATCAGTAACCCGAGTAGCTGAATCCAGTGAGGAAGAGTCGGGCTGATTAGAACTCCAATTCCAACTCCAAATAGGAGAGACGGGAGCAATGCCAGTGCAAGTCTCAAGTCAACCAGTGGCATGGACGGAACTTCAGGACTCGACTCCCATAGTCCATAGAGAGTGCTAGCAATTGCACTGAACGCAAAAGAGAAAAGGGTTCAGAATAGCTATCAATGGAAAAGAACGAGCTTGGAAAAGAAAACAGGTAATGAATCCTGACCTTGATGTCACGACGGTATGGGAAAGGGCGGTGGATTTGACAAGATTGAATTTGAGAACAGAGTGGAACAGCGGCATGTAGAAAGGCCCTCCTCCCACGCCAGCCGAATTAGCAAGCGATGCGCACTGCGCAATCCCACAACGCCGGTGATCGTCGGAATGTCAGACATGGCGAGACATTTTGATGTGAACTGAACCATGGCGGAACAAACTAGCGTTCTGCCGCGACAGGACGTTGTTTACTCACCAAAGCTACCAGGATTACGGACGCGTAGGTCCGGAAATTCCACTCGAACTGCTCAGGTTCGGAATAACCGACGAGAAGTCGGTAGTTGTGGTGGACGATCCCTAAGAAATCCATGTCCTTCGGGGTTTACGTTACTCCAGCAAAACTTCTGGAAAATGAGCTGCTTCACAAACGCTCAAGGGCCCTGCAGAGGACTCAGAAGTCATTTCTACACCTGATCTTGCTGAGGTCACTACCATCGTGCTCTTGGCGTGACAACACTCCATGTTCGAGCACCCAGACGGAATTAGCAGGGTATGAACTTGCAGCAAGGGGAGGCAGGATAAAGCAGGAAATGAGAGCGCACTGCTTCCCCAAACCGTGTCTATGGCATAGCAAGGTAGCATGCACACAGACACGTCAGAGAGAGGAGCTTGAAAATGTAGTCTGCTGTGACTTGAAAAGATAGCAAGAGGCAACATGTTCAGCGCAAAAAACGCGCTGTGGGCCTCCGCCAAAACACTAGCGCAGCTCATCTTTAGAACATGGTCTTGCTATAAACAGCAGAATAGAACGCTTCAACATTAAATGGCTTCATGTATTCACGAATTGCGACTACGACGAACCTCGTGCCAGATGCAATACAGAGTCTCAAACATATCCTCTACATCCTCATCAGGCATTTTGCCACCAGAAGCACCAAATGGCGCAACCCCTTGCAGCGTTTGCACCCATGACCTCTCAAGATCAAGCAATGTGCTAGCTGCAAGCGGCTCAGGGTTGTCAAACTTATCGCTTAGCTCATGCTCAAGAGCCGAAGCTGCTTGTGCCGCATTCGCCACCACACGAGACGGAATTCCGGCCATGGACGCTACTTTCAACCCGTAGCTCTTCGGACAGGCACCGGATTGCAACTTGTACAAAAAGACAAGCTCTTCGTCCTCTTCCCCGTCGCCGCCCTTGCTTGCCTGTACTTGGCACGCCATGTGTCGCAATGCGATTTGCGGATGGCCCGCAAACTCGGAGGTGAGGGGATGGTAGTGCGTGGCGAATAGGAGCCGACAGTCAAGGCGCGAGGTGAGATAGTTCAATACCTGTGGGGGAACAGCAGAAGAAACAAGAGAGGATTGGAAAGCAGGGTTGACAACGGTATATTTCAGGTGTCTCAAAAGGAAATGAAGGCACAAGATTAAGAAGTACAAAATTCGGTGGAGAAAACAGCAAAAGAAAGAGACAAGGAGCAATGACAGCACAACAGATGGCAGCTGTACTTTCATCTTGGTTCAGCGGCCAGCACTGCTGTTATCATAGAACTATACATTCGAACACGATGCTTGGGCCAATGATCATGGCGGATACACTGTAGTACGCATTGAGCAGTCAACTCTCGACAGACCACAACCACGTACCGCATGCGCAATGGCGTCTCCATCGAACGTGTAGGTGTATCCCTGCCCAGCTCGTCCCAAATGACCAGGGAGTAGCTTGTGAGGCGCATCAAAGGAGAATCCCAAACGCCCACATCACGTACCGCATGTGCAATGGCGTATCCATCGAAGGTGGACGTTCCCCTGCCCAGCTCGTCCAGAATGACAAGCGAGTCCCTTGTGGCACACCGCAGCACTGCTGCTGCCTCCCTGCACTCCACCATGAACGTGCCTGATGCAGGAAGGGAGGGGAAGGGGAGGGGAAGGGGATTGGAAGGGGAGGGGAAGGGAGCGGTAGGGGAGGGGAAGGCGGGTGGAAATCGCAGGGAGCAAAGTTACTTCCAGTCAACCCAACAGGCAGCACTGCTGCTGCCTCCCTGCACTCCACCATGAACGTGCCTGGTGGGGGAAGGAAAGGGGCAGGGGAGAAGCGGGGGGGTGGATGAGAGAGAAGGATGGCGGAAAAACAAGTGATTTCTCCAAGATCACGGGCTCCAATGCGGGCACAGATGTCCATTGCTTAGAGATTTCCGGAATTTATTTTTTCACATCCCCCTTCCCCACCTTCGAACCCTGCCTCCATTCCCCGAAGAGAAAGCAGAATTGCTCCCTCCAGAAATCATTCAGTTCAATGCCTGGCCTTTTCCTCGTTGGCCCCTCTGCTCTCCACTCCCCACCCCCCTAACACCCCCCCACCCCCCCAACCCCCCTCTTCCTCCCAAAAGGAAGCAGCACTCACTCTCCCCAGAGATGATTCGGTCGGAAGCCCCGAGCCTTGTGAAGATGACATCAGCAGGAGAGAGCACGAGGGAGGAGCAGGGCGCATAGCATCCCATCTGGTGAAAGGGAGGGAGCAGGGGATCGCGGTTGGCCTTTGAGTCGACTCAAAAGTCACCTAGGCGCATAGCATCCCATCTGGTGAAAGGGAGGGAGGAGGGGATCGCGGTTGGCCTTTGAGTCGACTCAAAAGTCACCTAGGCGCATAGCATCCCATCTGGTGAAAGGGAGGGAGCAGGGGATCGCGGTTGGCCTTTGAGTCGACTCAAAAGTCACCTAGGCGCATAGCATCCCATCTGGTGAAAGGGAGGGAGCAGGGGATCGCGGTTGGGATTGAGATCAGAGTGTAAGTAGACGACTTTTGAGACGTCTCAAAAGGTTGGGATTGAGATCAGAGTGTAAGTAGAGGTTGGGATTGAGATCAGAGTGTAAGTAGACGACTTTTGAGACGTCTCAAAAGGTTGGGATTGAGATCAGAGTGTAAGTAGACGACTTTTGAGACGTCTCAAAAGGTTGGGATTGAGATCAGAGTGTAAGTAGACGACTTTTGAGACGTCTCAAAAGGTTGGGATTGAGATCAGAGTGTAAGTAGACGACTTTTGAGACGTCTCAAAAGGTTGGGATTGAGATCAGAGTGTAAGTAGACGACTTTTGAGACGTCTCAAAAGGTTGGGATTGAGATCAGAGTGTAAGTAGACGACTTTTGAGACGTCTCAAAAGGTTGGGATTGAGATCAGAGTGTAAGTGGACGACTTTTGAGACGTCTCAAAAGGTTGGGATTGAGATCAGAGTGTAAGTAGACGACTTTTGAGACGTCTCAAAAGGTTGGGATTGAGATCAGATGAAACCGGGGGAAGGTGGCTTTTGAGACGAGACGACTCGACTCGACAGTCAAAAACTGATGAGCCGGATGAAAAAAGGATTCTTATGAAGAACAATGCACCCACCTTGCTCACGCTGCGTTTTCAGAACGGTTTTGAACTGGTAGAAGGAAGGTGGAACTGGGACTGGAGCGCGGTGCAGCGTGGGCTCATGCAGCAATGGACTGATAAGGCATGAGACTAGGGTAAGAGTTGAGAGCAGAGCACCTGAGCCATGATGACAGCGACACAGGTAGCGCGTAGCAGAGTGGACTTGCCGCCCATGTTGGGCCCTGTCAGCAGCATCGTGCGCGCATGCACCCCTTCTGCTGCTGCTGCTGTTATTCCTGATACGGAGCTGCCTGGCACGCCCCCTAGAAGCACGTCGTTGGGAACCACCACACCACCACCGGCGCCCACAGCAAACGGGTGCCACAACCCCCTCGCATGAAACGTGCTGCCTCCCCCTGACCCGCTTCCCTTCCCTCCCCTTCCCCCTCCTCCCACTCCTCCCACTCCTCCCACTCCTCCCACTCCTCCCACGCATTCCGCTCCTCCCCCTCCAGCCACAAATGTGGGGCGACACATGGGCCCTGCACTACCACCACCAGCACCGCCACCAGCAGCAGCGGCGGTCTGTGCGGCATCAGCAAAGGCGAGGAGGACGTCAAAGCGGGCGAGGGAGTCGGAGAGGAGCGAGCAGAAGGGGAGGAGCGAGGAGAGCCGCGCCACAAGAGCAGAAAGCAGGCGCGCCTCTGCTGCCACTGCCTCACTCAGATGGCTGCTACCGGTGCCGCTACTGCTGTTTTTGCTCTGGTTCCTGCTGTTCCCAGTCCCAGCCCTCTTTACATTGGTCACCAGATTCACCACACTGTCATCAGGGGAGACCAAACGGGGAGAGCTGCTGCTGCTGTTGCTGTTGTTGCTGCTGCCACCACCGCCGCCGCCTCTCGACCCGCCGCTGCCTCTGCCCTTCCCGGCTGCACCGACCTTCCCCTGGGTGGCAGTCGGCCACACGATGAACTGCTCTATCTCATCCAATACTGCCAACGCACGCCGCCCGCTCATCTCCTCCGTAACGTTCGTCCTTGCCGTCGCATGAGAGGGATGCACCGTGTTAGACCGGCCCCTCTCGTCTCCCCAACCATGTTTGTTGTAACCGTTACTCACATGGCGGTTCCTCACCCCTGCCCCTTCTCCTCCTCCTTCTCCCTCATCCTCCTCCTCCTCCTCCTCCTCCGCCTCGTCTTCCTCTTCCCAACCACCCTCTCCGCCGCCAGCAGAGGCGGCAGCAGGAGCCAATCGCATGATGCCACGTAGGATGGCAGAACGGAAGGTGACAGGCTCCCCTGTGAGAGATCCGTTGCGGAGGGAATCGAGGAAGAGCAGGGCTGCACGCACCCCTCGCACTGCAGAGCAGAATAGGGCGACCTGCGAGAGGAAGGGATACATAAGAGACGGTTGCGAGATGTTATATGTTGAGACGCTTTTGAGATCCGTTGCGGAGGGAATCGAGGAAGAGCAGAGCTGCATGCACCCCTTGCACTGCAGTGCAGAATTGGGTGACCTGGGAGAGGAGGAGAAAACGTTGGGAGGGGATGAAACTCGAACCGTCACAAGTCGATGGACGAGCAAAGCTGGGTGGGTGTGATAGTGAGTGCTTTCACCGCTTCCTCAGAAGCTGCTCTGCCATTGGTCCAGGCAGCGCCTCTAGAGCAGACCTTAATCCCCGTACTCCACCTTCCCAAACCCCACCCCAGAAAGGGCAGGGTGGATTTTGCTCATGCCAACATTCGCATGAGTGTGCCTCCTCACCTGCTTCCTCAGCAGCAGCTCTGAGGTGACTTTTGAGTTGACTCAAAAGTCAAGGGCAGGGTGGATCTTGCTCATGCCAACATTCGCATGAGTGTGCCTCCTCACCTGCTTCCTCAGTAGCTGCTCTGCCATTGGTCCAGGTAGCGCCTCTAAAGCAGACCTTAACCCCCCCCACTCCACCTCCCCTCCTCCCACCCCTCCTCTCCCATCCTCCCCGCCTCTGCCTTCTCGGCCTCCACTGGCCCTTCCCCAATTCCCTTCCTCTCCCCTACCTCCAACTTCTCCCACACCCCCTGCTCCTCCCCCTCCCGGCGCCCCCATCGCTCTCATTCGACCAATCAGGCGCTCCAGATCCGGCAGCCGCCTCATCGCTGCCCGGATTTCTCCCCGCGCATGTGCTGCTGACGTGGTGGATGAGAGCGCTGACGTGGCGAGCGACGAGCCCGCCAGCTCATCGACGGCGTCCAGCCGGCGCTCGATCTCGCGGATGGAGCGCAGCGGGTGGCAGATCCAACGGCGGAGAAGGCGCTTGCCTGCTGACGTGGCGCACGTATCCAGAAAGCCCAGAAGAGTGCCTGTGCGTTCGGAAATGGTGAAGAGGGCGAGTGAAGGAGGGCAGGCGGGCAGGAGGGGAGGAGAGCAGGAGAGGAGGGGAGGAAGGGAGGAGGAGGGGGGGGGGAGGAAGGGAGGAGGGGAGGAGGGGAGGAGGGGGGGTAGAGGAGGGTGAGTGAGAAGACTAAATTGTCAAAGGTATCAAGAGGAGACGCAAAGTGGTTGCTCGGAGACGATTCAAAGGTTGAAAGGGTGTTGAACCCACCCTGTGTGCTGCCGCTGTGTGTGTTGCCGAGCAGCTCCAGGTTGCTGAGAGTCTGGCCGCCCGTCAAAGCAACAGAGAGCGAAACAGAACGACGAAGGTTCATATATGCTCACCCTGAGTGCTGCCGTTGTGCGTGTTCCCAAGCAGCTCCAGGTTGCTGAGAGTCTGGCCGTCCAGAGGAGAAGCAGCCTTGTGAAGCAATATCAGACCTCACACTGCGTGCTGCCGTTCAGAAGTCCCTTTGATGCCTTGAACGTGGATTAGCTCACCCTGCGTGCTGCCGTTCAGAAGTCCCTTTGATGCCTTGAACGTGGATTAGCTCACCCTGCGTGCTGCCGTTCAGAAGTCCCTTTGATGCCTTGAACGTGGATTAGCTCACCCTGCGTGCTGCCGTTCAGAAGTCCCTTTGATGCCTTGAACGTGGATTAGCTCACCCTGCGTGCTGCCGTTCAGAAGTCCCTTTGATGCCTTGAACGTGGATTAGCTCACCCTGCGTGCTGCCGTTCAGAAGTCCCTTTGATGCCTTGAACGTGGATTAGCTCACACTGCGTGCTGCCGTTGTGTGTGTTGCTGAGCAGTTGCTGAGAGTCTGGCCGTCCGCCCAAGCAGCAGGAAGCGAAGCAGAAGGACAAGATTCTTAAGTGCTCACCCTGTGTGCTGCCGTTGTGCGTGTTGCTGAGCAGCTCCAGGTTGCTGAGCGTCTGGCCGTCCAGACGCAGCGAACCCGAGAAGACGGAGTAGGGGCGCAGGGCGAGCGAGGCGAGCACTGACGGGCTCCACTGGTGGGGCCGGGTTGGGTGGGGGAGGTGAGGGTAGCAGGAGGGAAAACAGGGGAAGGAGGGTAAGGGGTGCAGGGCGAGCGAGGCGAGCACTGACGGGCTCCACTGGTGGGGGAGTAGGGGGTTGGAGGGGGGTGCGGGGGGGGAAGGGAGAGCAAAGAGGGTAAGGGTCACACAGCGAGCGAGGGGGACGCTGTAGGACTCCAATGGTGTTGCACACAGAGATCGATTGGTTTTTGAGGCGCCTCCTCAAAGATTGGTTTTTGAGGCGCCTCCTCAATGATTGGTTTTTTAGGCGCCTCAAAAAGCGAGGGGGACACTGTAGGACTCCAATGGTGTTGCACACAGAGATGGATTGGGGAGACGGGAAGGGGGAGGAGGGGAACCGGTGGGGAGAAGTGGCGAAGGGGTGTTTGCAGGATGAAAAGGAAGAGCGAAGGGGTAAGTTGCGCAGGGGGAGAGGGGGGCGCTGCAGCGGGAGAGAGGGGGGCGCTGCAGCGGGAGAGAGGGGGGCGCTGCAGCGGGAGAGAGGGGGGCGCTGCAGCGGGAGAGAGAGGGGCGCTGCAGCGGGAGAGAGAGGGGGGCGCTGCAGCGGGAGAGAGAGGGGCGCTGCAGCGGGAGAGAGAGGGGCGCTGCAGCGGGAGAGAGAGGGGCGCTGCAGCGGGAGAGAGAGGGGCGCTGCAGCGGGAGAGGGGGGGGGGGCGCTGCAGCGGGAGAGAGGGGCGCTGCAGCGGGAGAGAGAGGGGGGCGCTGCAGCGGGAGAGAGAGGGAGGCGCTGCAGCGGGAGAGAGGGGGCGCTGCAGTTGCGCAGGGGGGGAGAGGGGGGCGCTGCAGGGATCCACTGACACATGCACACGTTGGTTGGTGGTCGAGGGGCGGAGGGGGAGGGGGAAATGGAGGGAGTCGGGGGAGCGGGCGGGTTTTGAGTCGGAAAGCGGGGAACGAGGGGGAGTTGGAGAGGAAGGGAGGAGAAGGGGGGGACGGGAGAAAAGGAGGAAACTTGGAGAGAAAAGGAGAGAAAGGCGAGGATTTCCCACCTTCAATCGCTCCAGATGGCTGCCTAGCGCCACAAGCGCTGCTGCTGCTACCTCCGCCTCCTCCTCTCCCCCTCCCACCAGCAACCGCACTAGAGAATCCGCCCCCCTCCCATGGCATGGCTCTCTCTGTGGGGACTCTTGCACAGTTCCGAAACCAGATGATTTTAGCCGAGCCACCGCTGCTTTAGGCTCGGGAAACTCCGAACCTGGCGCCAGGGCTGTCAGCTGCATCGGGAGGATTCCTGGGCCTGAGCTCCTTCGCAAAAGCTTCCTCGTGTCGGTGGAGAGACCTGGATCAGAGGATTTTACACGAGAAGTATATTTCTTTAAAACCTTCAGAGGAAAACTCACCTAGAATCTCAAGACATTAGAGTTGAACAAGAAAGGTAGCTTATGAAGTAATGAAAGGGCCCTGATATGATTACAGAAAAGCAATTAACATGAAGGTTAAACCAAGCACTAAACAAAGTCCAAGCACACATACCGTCCAGTTCAAACAACAGCTCTTGAGGGGCCACCTGATGTCAGGCAAAGGGGAGCCGGGCAGGAAAAGAAGAGAAAGAAAACCAAGTGTCCTATTGAAAGGTTCGTGGGCCCATCACATCCACAGCACCTGGACACAGACGGCTAGTCACACACACAGCAAGTGGGGAGGCTTATCACATGCACTGCACCTGGACACATACATGATTGTCCCATCACATGCACTGCACCTGGACGAGGAGCGCTGAGAGGGCGGAGCGGGAGGAGTCATCCCGCATGGCACCCACGTAGACATTCCCACCTGCCACGTCAGCAAACGCAAAGCCAACGAGGATAGACCCAGAAGCAACACTGGTCGGGGTGCCGTTAGGCGTCCCGTTAGGGCTGCTGCTGCTGATGATGATGTTGTCAATGCTGGCGGCGCTGTTGCTGGACGCAGGTTCTGTGGTGACCTGAAAAGAGACGACGACACGCAAAGAGAGGGGGGGGGGAGGGGTGGGGGGGGGTTCAGGCAACTCAAAGTTCCTCCCTGATGGATGGTTCGGGGTGCTCTCTGCTATTGGTCACGACTCACGACAAAAGAAAATCATCTCGAAAGTTGACACGCCTAAAAGTGCTTGAAATGCATTCACAAGGGCTGCAAAGGTGCATCATCGTTGGTGGATGGATTAGGCTGACAAAATCTTTGGCCATCGCAAAGACCTGTGAAAAAAACACACGCAGACAAGTGCTCACCTACTTTCAAATGGTACAGCAATGGACAGTAATGGACCACAGAAATCCATTGCGTGACCTCTTGTTGTTGCCAGGAAACACAGCGGCTCACCTCCTTAGTTGCCAGGAGGTGCACGGCCTCTGGTCTGAGCGACCCCTCTGTGAGGGTGGATTGGCAGAATGCTTTTAACTTGAAATGCACACAGGGCGCAGAGCGGCTCACCTCTTTAATTGCCAGGAGGTGCACGGCCTCTGGTCTGAGTGACCCCTCTGTGAGGGTGGCTGGGGAGAGAATTTGCATAAGTTGCCGCTGCACCATCTGCAATGCACGGGTATGTGATGGTGAAAGAGATAGACATGAGGCTGTTAAAACGAGATAGACACGAGGCTGTTAACACGAAACAATGAATAACAAACAAACCTCTGTTAGATTTGTCAAAAGTGGCTGTTACATCGTGACAACAAAGCACATGTTGCCAGCCTCACCCTTCCCATCGCATGCAGTGTCAATGCATGCCGTGGCAGTGGGAAGAGATCTGGTGCGGGCATATGTAACCTATCTTGCCAGATGAGCCACACGCTTGTACTAATACAGCCACATCAGAAAATGGATGCAGGCACGTCTGTCAGTCAATGCATACAGTCACATCCATAACCAAGTACTTTCACATCCGCGAATGCATACAGTCACATCCATAACCAAGTACTTTCACATCCGCGAATGCATACAGTCACATCCATAACCAAGTACTTTCACATCCGCGAATGCATACAGTCACATCCATAACCAAGTACTTTCACACCCGCGAATGCATACAGTCACATCCATAACCAAGTACTTTCACATCCGCGAATGAACACAGTCACATCCATAACCAAGTACTTTCACATCCGCGAATGCATACAGTCACATCCATAACCAAGTACTTTCACATCCGCGAATGCACACAGTCACATACCGCCCCTGGCCCTCTCTTTGCCTTGGCCTCCTCGCTGCTCTCCAGCTGCTCCATGCGCCCCACCTTGTAGCTGCGGGCGAGAGGGAAGAGAGATGGGCGGAGCAGAGACGGGTGGAGCAGAGACGGGCGGAGCAGAGATGGGCGGAGCAGAGATGGGCGGAGCAGAGATGGGCGGAGCAGAGACGGGCGGAGCAGAGACGGGCGGAGCAGAGATGGGCGGAGCAGAGATGGGCGGAGCAGAGATGGGCGGAGCAGAGATGGGCGGAGCAGAGTTATGAGTGGATAACGGGAAGGGAGTGAGTAGACATGGAATGGGAGGTGAATGTGAGTCCAGGTGGCCGAGGAATGGCCACCTGGACGAATGACATTCTTGCTTGCTGCTGTTGAGTGGCGCCTCAAAACTCGCTCTCAATATTGAGGCGCCTCTCAAAAGTGGCCGCGGGATTGGCGTTTGCAAGACTGGCATTCTTGCTTGCTGCTGTGCGTTGCACTTGGCACCCAGCGCAATGGCGTATGTATGGATGAGTGCATGTGAGTAAGAGTGGGGGAAAGGGGGGCTTACACACTAGGGGAGGGGAGAGAGGAAGAAGGGAGACTCACCCTCTGGCTACTAGCTTCTGAACTGCGTCCTCTATGCCACTCTCAGGCACTCCCACCTGCACGGGGGGGAAAAGGGGGGTGGGTAGAGTGCAGACAGGGGGAGAGGAACGTACGAGAGAGAGGAAAGGGGAGAGAGAGAGATGAGAGGTGAAAGGAAGCTTCTCAGAATGTGGCAACGACCTGCCTCTACAATCCACAAGCCATGTGCAAACACGAGGCGGAAAAAGAAAATGAGGTGTGGTGAGATGAGCGGCAGGAAGCACGTAATAGCCATCTGAACGATCACCTGAAGCTGAAGAACCCTCACCTGGCGGCACTTGCCGACGCCGCTGACAGTGAGCTTCCAGTCGAGCTCCTTGTGGCCCACCTCAGCGTCCACCTCGTACAGCTCGTAGAACTTGCCCTGTGAGATCATGACACGTGGCAAGGGAACATATGATTTTCAGAACTATCCACATCAAGACCAAAACTGCTAAAACAGAGAACAACAACAATACACTGACGGTGACACCGAGGAACGTGAGTGGAACGGACCTCTTGAATAGAAAAGAGAAAAAAACTTTCAGACCTCACAACCCGCAAATGGTAAGGAGGAACAACGTACCACTTTGAAGAAGAGAATCGTGTCCATGTAGCGACTTTTTGTGCCCCAGTACTGCTTCTGCGACGCTGACAGCTTGTCGAAGATCGCACGCGGGACGGTTACACTTCGCGAATCGTACCCTGGCTCGCCAGGCCTCCTCCCCTTCCCGTCCCGAATATTTTCGGGCAGAAGCCACTCAAATTTTGACCGGGCCTCGGCCCACATGCTAGCATTTTTATCCTGCCCGCCGTCCAGATCGTCTGCTCCCAACGCCCGAAGAAACTCCGCGCGCCTGGAGTTATCAGGTTGTGACACACCAGATTGTGACAAAAACGAAGGTTTCGCAACCCGCTGAGATGCTCCGTTGGCAGGTCGCTCAGGCTGACTCGCGGAGGCGAACCTTTTACCCTGAAACGAGTTAATCCCCTCGCTGTAGTCACCCTCATTGTCGTCAACATCTGCGTCGTCCCTCGTTCTCTTGCCTCTCGGGACGCATGGCTTGATCCCAGGAGTCACGGGAGTGAAATGAGGTCGTGGACTAAAATTACCTCGACCATTTCCAGCTCTCGCCGCTGCTGAGGGAGTTCCGAAAGTGTTTGTTCCGTTACCGGTGATACCGTCGTTACAAATATCACCGCTATTACCGGTGTTACAGATGTTACCAATCGCTGTACCAGGTATGCCAAGCTCCTTCCTGCGCGGATCAGAAGCATATCCCGTTATGCGCTGACTCTGGGGAGGCTTATTTAGGGACGGTTGATCAGCCGTCACTCGCCATTTCGGCTCCGTCCCCTCGTTCGCGCCGCTGAATGCATACGGGTTGCGTGGAGCCTTGAACGGACTGTATTCGGACACCGATTTAGCGGGAACATTAGTCGACCCCCAAGGACCTTGGCTGCTCGCTGGAGAGTTTTGAGTTGCAACGAGCGGCTGTGATGACAGAGTGTTAGACGCGTTTTCTTTCTTGGAGTAGAATCTCCACAGGGAGCGCTGAGCCATGGTACCGGCGAGTAAACGGCGATCCTGGACTCCGTACTACAAAACAAGCAAGACTACCAGCTCTCAGTACCTATTTTTCTCCCCGCGAAACGTACAAATACATAAAACTAACCATTCAGAGTTGGTCCACTTGTAAGCTAAGCTCCCACGTTTAGCACGACGCTGTTGAACCCGCTCAGTTGAGCAGGTGAAGGGGAGGCTAAAGTTCAAAGCGAGGCGTCATGAGGACGACACTAGAAGGGCTGGAATCGTAGGGAAGAAAAGGTGACAGCGTGAGAGTTCAAAAGAACTACGCTTCCCCCGAGTGAATAAACTGGCTTGGGTTGTCTGCGCAAACGGCTATCAAGGCAAAAGGAAACGATGGTTGTCGAAAGTTTCAGCTGCGAGAAGAATTGTGCGGAACTCTCAAGGCTGGTTCAAGCGAAGCGAATGGATGACTGGTTGAAAGGCTGTGTCGGGCAGATGGAAGCTTTTGAGAAAATAATTATTCTGGCACGGACTGGTCTGTTTGAGGCTTGGGCAACCCGCGGGGCATCCTTCAGAAACCCTGGGCTCTTGAATTTTGAATATTCAAAATATGGGAGGGATGAAAAATTTGAATTGCGATAAAGCGATCTGTTGAGTAAAGCATACATGAACCGATACAGCACAGAAGTTGTCCTCGCGCGAACGTATATGTGGTAACGCGGTTGACTAAATCGCGTGTGGATTGATGGATATGTGTGTTGGTGTTGTGATGTGATGGGCATTGGGCACCAACCACCTACCGAATACTAGTCGGCTTTTGCAGTGCCGTAGTGTGCACGCGATTGGTCTAGGTCATGGACTAGACTAGAACCTGGGCGTATTCTAGCATTAACTTAACGGGCAGGCTGCTGCATTTCATTCTGAGGCAGCCGAGATGGCATTCGTGTGCACTGTGCTGCGGGACACAGTATTTGTCTCCTCCTGAAGTACAGAATCCGCGACATTTTCTTCCTTTGGACGGCAAACATTGGCATGGTATGAAAACAAGCACCATACACGAGCCATCGCGCTATACGCTAGGCTGACGTCAGGACCATCCGCGACCACACATTCATTAATCGACCACCCATTCAGGAATTCACGCAATGAGGTCGTCGTCGGGCCGCACGAATGCGGGAGCAGCCGGGATGGGCTTCACGTCGCCGCTCGACGCAGACGCCGCCGAGGCGCGTCGGCTCCAACGTGCCGCGCTGTTGCAAGCGCGCGGCGGGCCCAACTCCATGGAGAAGCGATTCCTGCGCTTTATATCGGGTACTTGGCATCCCCGCATTCCCTGCATTTAACATCCCTAGATTAAATCGAGTACCAGACATCCCTGCACGCCATATTCCCCGCACGTTACTTCTGCCATACAGGCTTCCCTGCATCTAATCCCAGTCTTTTGACTCACCCCACCTCTAGCAGCACTTGTCAGAATTCTCAACGAAACCCAACCCCCCTTACCCCACTCCCCCCCTCCCCCTCTCCCCCCTCCCCCGTTCTCCTCCTCAACTCCCCTCCTTTCCCTTTTCTTTACCCCATCTGGACGCCAGCCGGAACCTTCCTGGATTCTGCCACCCTGAGCTCCGTCGCGCCCATCCTCCCGGGCTACGCGCGCCGCTTCGGCCTGACGCAGCACGCCGTCACGCTGCTCCTCGCGGCGCGCAACGTCACGTCCGTGCTCGCGTCGCTTCCCATAGGCGTGCTCCTCCTCTTAATCTCCGTCCCCACCATCTTCGCCGCGACCTTCTCCCTCTCCACCCTAGCCTCTCTCTCCCTCGCGTTTCCCCTCGCCGGGGCAGGCTCGCTTGCTGCTGCCCTGGTTCTCCAAGGCGTCGCCACCCAATCCGTGCGCAGCGTCGGGCTTTTTTTCGCTGCCCGGGTTTGCGGGTCAGGCGCGTCATTGGACGAGGTGGTGGATCAGCTCGCGCAGAAGGGCAGCGAGGGGCTGCACAAACTTCTGGGCTCGGGCAGGCTGTGGACTGCCCGGGGCAGAACGTCGTTAAGTTATGGTTTGGTAGGGGATGGGAGGAGAGGGACAAGTAGCCTTAGCGGTATCAGCAACACTCCGTACGAAAGGCTTACCCCTTCCCAGCAGCAGCAGCAGCAGGAGCAGCAGGAGCAGGAGGAGGAGGAGGAGGAGGAAGAGCAGCAGCAGCAGGAAATAGAGGGGCAGGGATGGAGGGAGTTTTCAGGAGGGAGAGAAGCTGCATGGAGCGAAAGAGAGACACAGGTTAGAGGGAGAGGGAGAGGGAGAGGTAGAGGAGGAGGGAGACGTGGAGGAAGAGGAGGGAGAGGGGAGCGAAGGGCACGAGTCGGGGGCGTTAGTGCTCCAGGCTCGGCCGGAGCAGGAGCAGGAGGAGGTTCGGCATCCGAAGGTCTGTTTGTGGTTCGGAGCGGTGACCAGGTGTTTCGATCGGCAGCAGCAGACTACTCCCTCACAGGCACCCACTTCCCCACCGCCTTTGCAGACGGCATGGACGGCACCCCCTCCGGAGCCTCCTCCGCAGCTTCCTCCGCAGCCTCCTCTGCGGAATCCTCTCTGCTGATCGGCGTGATTGGCTCGTTGCTGGGTTGGGCGTCACTGGGAACGCTCATCGGGCCGCTGTTTGGCTCGTTTGCCTACCAGTACCTGTCTCCCTGGATCGCGTATCTCGTTGCGGCTGTGGCAGCGGCGGCGCTCGCATTCCTCTCCTTCCTGCTCTCGCCTGAAGCACACTCCCTCGACCGCCTCGAGTTCCAGCTCAGCTGGCGCAAGAAAAAACAGCAGAAGCAGCAGCAGCAGCAGCAGCAGGAGCAGGAGGAGGAAGAGATGGAGGAGCAGGAGGAACCGCAGCTGCAGCAGCAGCAGGGTAACCCGGGGTCCTACGCACTCACAAATACCTCCTCTAACCCCCCCGGTGCTGACTCCTTGCACTCTTCTTCACCCGGGCCTGTGTCACTAGGCCTCGCTTCTGCCTCTTCTGCAGAACCCGACCCTGACTCTATCGTCAGTCCAGGTTTCCAGGCGGGCAGCGGGCAGGTGATGGTAAATTTCGAGGCGCTAGGGGTAGAGCCGCCTCCGGAACCTTCCGACCTGCCCGACTCATTCTTTTCGTCGTTTGCGTCTCGTCAGGATGACCCTTCAGGTGCCCCTTCAGGGGGGGCAGAGTATAATGATGGAGACTTTGTGCTGACACGGAGATTCGAACCCATGACCTCTGCCTCGAACCCAGCAACTGCTGCTGTTCCTGCAGCTGCCTCTGCTCCTGCTGACGGCTCCAAACACACTCTACAACCCGTCAACTCTTCCTCTTCTTCTGCACAGCCACACCACTCCTCTCCTTCCTCACAAACCGTCAACTCCTCTCCTGCTCCACAGCCCCGCATGTCTACCCCTCAGGCGCCCCTGCCCACTAGTTCCGTCCCCCTCATCCCCCCTCCCAACCCCACACCTGACAGTGCGATGGTGACTGCTTCTGCCACTGTTGCCCCTGCTCTTGTTCCATCTGCCCGTGCCGCTGCCTCTGGCGGATCTTCCACTGCCGTTACCTCTGAACCTGAACCTGCAGCTGCCTCTGGTGCTGGAGGCCTGGGAGCTGCTGCTGTTATGGGTTCAGGCGCTTCTGTCGAAGGTGGTGCTGCTAGCACAGAGGCAGAAGGGGGTGCGGAGTGGCACGAGGTGCCTCTGTCAGGAGACTCCACCCACGCTGCTGCTTCTGCCATAAGCCATGTCCCACTCTCACATGATGAGCACGAGCACGCCATGAGCCATGGCCTACATTCCCATGCCCTGCATGCCATGAGCCATGTGCCGCATTCACATGATGAGCGCCCCATGAGCCATGAATCATCAACAGCAGTTGAAAGAGGCGCTGAACGGGGGCTGGCAGGAGCCAACCAGGTGACAGCAGCACCACTGGCAGGAGTATATGCAGCAACAGAGGCAGCACGAGAGGTAGCGCCTGAGGCAGCGCCAGCGGCAGCAGCAGGGGCGGGGATGGGTGCGCGAGACACAGCAGCTGGTGCAGCAGCAGAGCCAGCTGACATGATCGACCAGGCTTTCCATCTTGGCAGAGGCAGCAATAGCTCGATCACCAATGCCGCTTCTGCTCCCTCCATTCCCTCTTCCACCCCCACCACCACCACCACCACCAACAGCACTGCCACCAGCACCACCACGGCAACAAGCAATCTCCCTCGGGGTGCCCCTACCATCCCTCCTCTTGACGCCCCCTCAT